TGTAGAAGGACAATGGTCCGAGGTTAAACATGTTTTATCTGGTGTTCCTCAGGGGTCAGTTCTAGGCCCTCACCTATTCATTCTGTATATTAATGATTTGCCTGACCTTTTAAAAAATAAGATAAAGTTATTTGCTGATGATCTTAAATTAATTGGTAATGCAGCTAACCACGGTAGTGTTGCTGAAGATATCGAAGAATTAGAAGTTTGGGAAAGTATTTGGCTTTTACAATTTAATCCTGCCAAGTGCAAAGTAGTGCACATTAATTTTAACAACAATCCTAATTTAAATTATAAGGTAAATGGTATAGAACTTGAAGTATCTGCACAGGAAAAAGATTTGGGGGTTATTACCCATAGCTCCCTGCTTTGGAACGAACAGATCAAAGCATGTATCGCTAAGGCAAATCGTATGATTTGTTGGATTGTAAGGAATTTAGTTATTAGAGAAAAGGTTGTTATGATTGCTATATATAAAGCTTTAATAAGACCTCATCTTGAGTATTGTGTCCAATTGTGGAATCCACCTGCGGCTCATGGAAGTTGGGGGACTGTTTTGGAGCTGGAGAGCGTCCAGAGGCGGTTTACCCGTCTGATTGATGAGGTGGGTACTCTTCCGTACAGCCGTAGACTGGAAATCCTCAATTTGACAACGCTGGCAGAGCGGCGAATACGTGGGGACCTTATTGAAGCTTTTAAGGTAATTAATGGTATGACTGATTATGGTTCAGACTTGTTCAGACCAAGCAGATCAGGTCTTAATCTGGTTTCATCCAATAGATGTAGTAAAAGTATGACAAAGGTCAAAAATATCCAGAAGTCTTTTCTCCCGGAGCGAGTTATTCCATATTGGAACAAACTCCCTCCGGACGTCAAGAACTCTGTGACAGTTTTAGGTTTTAAAATTAAATTAGAAGGATATAAGATAGATATGATTTCTAAAAGTATTACAAATGATTGCTTTTTTTGGAATGTTTCTAATGAAGTTTTAGTAAGAATTGAGGGAGCCAGTTATGTCAGTAATAAAGAGAAACATAACAATTATCTTTGGTTCCATCCTTATGTGGCAAAGAAGCATTTTATAAATCTTTATTCCACTGGGAAGTTTTTAAAATAGGATAATGTTTTTGATGAAATTGTTTTTAAATATTGTATTTGATAATTAATTAATGTTGGTGGGGAAATATTTATTATATATTTTTTCACACAGTGCGATGATAGTTTGTAGACATGTGTGATGATGTGATGTCATAAATTTTACTTTACTTTACTTTACTTTATACCTAGGTTAGTCCTAATCACAACATTCATTCGTCATTAAACATTTGTTAACACCAGTGGGAGATCAGGAGTTATCACACCCCTATTTTTTTTATTGAAATCTTTCAAATCAATCAATTACATACAAATTTACACAATGAATGAACAACATTAAATCTTCTCAAAAGTAGACTCCGATAAAATCAGATTTTCTAGGACAGAATGTATGTAATCAAAGGACCTGAGGGTCACCAAAACACTGATTTTGAGAGCAAAATGCACCTCCTGCACAAGTATGGGCCCAAGGAAAATATACCTGTTAATCACAGCCTAAATGTAGGTCGAAGGACCCATGCGATAACATAGTTATCACATGGATAGTTATCGTATGGGTAGTTATCACATGGGTAAGTTACATTATATTAGCGTAAACAAGAGTGAGAGAAAAACTTTTACATAACAGACATTTATACAATGATCATGGGAGAATAAGTTATTGAATCCTGAAAATGTCATGATTAAGTTTGTCAGGGCATGCCTATCAAGTTGCAGGAGTTACACTAGTCCATTTCCGCAGAACCATGGGCCGAAACATACATACTGTTACGCTGTTTAAGATGTCATTTTCTAAGGATGTGCCAGAAATAATTTCCTTTGTATATTTAAGGGATTGTTTATTAAACAAGCGTGGCATACATTTGTCCAACCTCTCCTCCTAACATGTGACTGAACCTTTAGTTTAGGTGACATAGCTGCACCAGGGATATAAGTTTCAAGCAGGTATATACTCAGCTAATAGGTATTCTGCTATACTCATGGAAAAATAAAATCAAGATAAAGTTACAGCTAGTCATCATGCAGTTTAGCTGTACAATATTATAGCTATGGTTTTGCATTTGTATATTTATTATGACATGAACGCTGAACAGCTGCAGTGGTAAACAGGGCTCTGCAGGCAAATCATCAAGTGAAGACAATACCTATGATTGTATATAATATTTATTAGGAGTTACAGAGGTGCAAAAGCCCACTGCCCACAGCAATAAGTAATTTAGATCTTAACCTGATCAACACTCCTGGATCATAAATTCTCACGGAGTGTTTGTTTGGTGGAGGCCTGGACTACTTATTGCAGTGATGTGAGTATTTCAAGTATGTTGTAACATAATGTGGAAAGTGTATTTTCAAAGTTGCGCCGCGTGCGGAATCTTTACATACTGCGAAGGGGGGTTTTTTAAATTCTACCCTTCTAAAATGTTTACAGTTTTATTCATTTATTGTATTGGTTTATATATTGTTAAGGATGTCTAACCTTACAGCTAAACAATGACCATCATTGCTGAAATTATCTGTGCATATTGTTTGAATATTATTCTTCATTAAAGACCATATTGTGATTTCCCAAGACTATTTCAGCATGAGTGATGATATTGTGGTGATGGAAGATGGTGAAAAGCATGGTCTACCAGCATTTCAGCGATCACGTCAGATCACAGACATATTTACAAATGTGGAGAGCATTCTTCCGAGCATGGATTTTTCAGACAATGAGACTGAGGATGATGATGACTCAGAATCTGTTAGTATTGATCATGAATCCTGAATTCATAAAAAAAACATCGACTTGATTTTGCTTAAATTGCCAATTGGTATTCAACTATTAAATTCATCTTATCCTGTTAGGTTGAAGTTGTGACTCGGGAGTATAAACCTGTCATCACTCATGTCTCCAACAAAATTGAGGAAATAGACAAGTCTGGTGATATCAACATTGAAGATGTCACCATTTCGGAGGAGTTTGAAAGTGTCAAGAATATTCATGGTAAATTTAAACACCCCTCATTATGGAGGTTTTACATTGCAACTTATCTTATCTATAGCTTTTGATGTATTCAATGTTCAGAAAATCATATTAAGAATTTGGTGATGTGTAATTATAATAATGAATCCTATCAGAGCAAAAGGCCGAAAAAGAAATTACGGAACTTAGTGTTCACAGCTTCATTGACTCTCTTGTTTGCCAAATCGCTGAACAACCACCCTCTAAAAAGGTTAGTACTGATTTAGTAAAACCCTGATTTAGTGCGTCCCAATACTGCAAACCGCTGTTTATCACGGCAATTATCTTCCCAAATTAAGAATTAACATAATATAAAATATATATAAAATTGCGATTTATTACACAGACCCTGATTAACCACAGCTTTTATCTTTCCCCAAAGTCCGCAGTAAATCGGGGTTTTATATCATATTATTAAAGTGTCAAAGAGACATAAGTGGTGTTGTTCCAGATTGGGATACCTAAGAATCGAATTATATTCTGTTCAGTGTGAAAACTTTCTTTTAAATTGATTGTCAATAAAAATTGAGTCAGATCACTAAAGTTAATTCTGCGGTTTCAAATTAATTTTATGCTTTGTTTAACAAAAGCTACCTTGTGTTCATAAGTATTGTTCTGATTAAAAGTGTTGGTTCATCTGTTTATAAACACTGAGATTAATTAAATTATGATTAATTATGATTATAATTATAATTAATTCACAGGCTCCAGATTACAAGTTGGAGAATAACACAGATCTAGATCTCGATCAACTTATTGGTCTGTTGGAAAGCAGTCACGACATAAAAATTGAAGGTTTGTTGTTAAATTAATATATTATTATTATATGAGTACATCAAAACTGTGGTACTATTCTTAACAGATACCCACTAGCCTCAAAGTTATCAGTCGTATATTTTGATAAACATATATCACAATAATCTGTGAACATTTCAATCGTTCAAAATCATTACTAATATGCATATATCAAGATTATTTAAAATCTGACAGTTTTACCAACTAATTTTCTTGTAAAATACTTTATAAAGAAAAAAAGCACACGTTCCCATCAGTAAATAGCTGGTGAAAGTTGAATGAGTTTCCGCAGGGGCTTTATATTTGTCCACCATGTCAATGAACCGTCCTTCACTTCCCACTTTGTTTAAATTTCCTTTCAGCATCCTTTTCTGGGTATCTGTCAAGTCACTCAGTGGTTTTGTAGGAGGACCCATAGGAAGACCTGTAAGAAATAAAATATTAAGATATTAACCCTGTAGGCTTACAGTGTACCTAGCACATCGTTAGTCGTATCAAATGTATAATTTTATGGTATTATGGACCATGCACATTTATCATGTATATATGATGTACATTTGCCATATTTTTGCCTAATATCGGTGAATTTTACTCACCTACAAAATCCATAACATGGGTCAAAGAAGACATGAGTTCTTGGTCTACTATGATCGATTCCATGAAACCTTCCAAATCGTTTTGTATTACCTGTATAATGTTTTCAGTCATCTGGAAATCGATTTCTAAAAACTATTGAGCTATGTAAAAACATTAAACTGATAATATCTTACTGTGTATAAAACGAGACGATATATATCTGTTGCCACTTTACTGACACCACGACTTTCCGTCGAATGCTTGGGTCGAATGCTTTTATATGGGTTTGAGACCAGTATGAAGCAAATCGGAAAATATATAAATATTGTCTCTTGACACCACTTTAGTGTTAGACCTGCTATGTTTGACTAGGGTATCAATAATTCCGCTTATAATATTTAGTGTATTTACCCTACACAAACCTTTGCTTTTCTGATGTCACCCCTAAGCACGAGATCAACAATCCGCACCATGACACCGTTCACAAAGTTAGTTGGTCCCGTAATGAGAGACACTTCAGCTCCCTGAGTCTGGGCACCTACAAGTGTCATGTTCGGGAACCCGAGAAATATCTTTAGATCCAGTTTCACCTTAATTAATTAATCAGTTTCACCTTAATTAATTAATTGGTTGATTAAGTTTCATCTGAATCAGAGGAGAGTTTTACAAAATACTGTGACAGCATGTTAACAATTCATAAAACGGTTTTAAACTCTTTGTTATGCTTATTTTTGGTATAGTTCCCTTATTTAGTGGTATTCATGAAATGAGGGTATTCGAGGTTTGCTTAATCAATATCTTACTAATTTCTTGTAAACACTTTCGTCATTGGCAGTGTACTTTAAGCCAATGAAATTGCTAAGTCTTCTTTTGAGATTCTTCATAAGTTCGACTACATCATACTGCAGCCTTGTCAGCGAAGGAAAATGGTAGTACAGAACTGGCTTTCCATTGCAGGCCTCTCCTTAGAAAGTAAAACATTATTCGGCAATGAAGTCTTAAAAATGTCAACCAGTTCAAACTTCAACTTATCATAAATGTGGGTCTTAGAGCCTAGCGCACACTGAAATATTTCTAATCATAATTTGATCTGACCTGCATCACACAGGAACTGGAGTAGTCCAGTGTAAGTGAAGTAAGGGTAGAACATGGGAGTGGAGAGCATAATCCCATCAACTCCTTCCATACCAGATAGGATCTCACACAGAGATAAGGTGTCTTGGTAGTTTACCCCACCTGTTGAATCATTCAAACTATGGGATCTCCCTTTAACTATCGTGAAAAATACTACTGTTGACATCATAACGTGAGATTTTTTTAAATATTCGAAAATATATGAAAATTTTTGAAAATGTTTGAGGAATAGTCATTTGTCTCTACCTGCATGAATGATGACAGCGATACGTCGATCAGCAGCTACAATGAAAGCTCTTGCTACAGCTAGTCTCTCAGTATTGGATAGCAGTAAACCCTGCCCTGCTGATCCACCAACTAGAATACCTAGATATACAGGGTGGTAATTTAATCAGGGCCACCTTTTATATTCTGATTTCGATCCTGAACCTATGCTGGCAAGTTTACTCCCTAAACAACGAAAACTTATCATAACAAAGTTTAAATTATTATTTTGACAAACCGGTCACTCCTGAGTTGATGAGGTGGGTAATGTAACTGGGGATGATAGAATAGTTCACATTCCCTTCCTCGTTACGTGGTGTGAAGACGGGGGCCACATACCGGGCTGATAAGATCTTATCTCTGGTGTCCAACATTCCCGGTTAAAACATTTCCTTGTGGTTTTGAAAGAGGAAAATACACAGCTCTGTAGGACAAGCAGTCACAAGTAGTCACAAGTAGTCAAAAGTAGTCACAAGTAGTCACAAATACTCACAAGTAGTCACAAGTATTCACAACTGGTCATGGTCACTGCTAAATAAACAGCACGATTAATCCTCTTCAAGACTACTCTAAAGGGGTAACATTCTCATTAACTGATCTCTGTTCACAGATAACAACTGTATTTTCAGAAGCAGAACACGATAGTGACGAAGAAAGTGACAGCAGCACCAGTACTATCGTAATGGACGAGCTAGCTAGGTACTAACTACTAGATACTGTTATGTGTTGTTCAGATAACCATAAGTTGTGGTTAATTCTACTCAGCGCTGCAATATTTTAAACATTAACTGCAATGAATACCGTACTTGTAAATTGTAAAACTGATTTTATATTCAATTACTAAATAGTGTTAGTGTGTTACTTATGGATTTATCAAAAAGGGCACCAATTTGTGATGTAATATTGGGGGAGGTCAATTTTGGCTAATTTTGGATTTCTTAGTGGATTTTCTTAGTGGATTTTCTTAGTGGATTTTCAAAAGTGGCCATAATTAGGGTGTCCATAATTAGCCAAAATTAGCCAAAATATACAAAAAATATACAAAAAATGTTTTCAGGATTGCTGAAACGTATGATGGACTGGACAACACGCCTGCCACCCCACGTGCAACCACTCCAAACAGCCGTTCCAGCACTCCTAACAACAAAGTAACAACACCTAACAACAAAATAACAACACCTAACACCAACCCAACAACACCTAAAAACCAAGATAAGAGTGAGCACGAAGCAAGAAGCTCCGTATTGGCTGATTTCTCTGAGAGTGCAGGTCAGTGCGTGGATTGAACTTGTTAGATAAGGAATTGTAAAATTGAATAAGGGTGTTGAATTTCTTGGCTAGAATTTCTGAATAATATTACAGTTGAACAGCATTTTTTGAAATTATAAACCACGAAACATGAATCACTTTGAAGATATTAGTTGTTTTAAATCATACGGTCTTCTCTTTTCTATCTCATCCCATATTTTTAAAAGTTCGAATATTTATACACAATATAGATCATAATATCATTCCTATCTAAAAATTACCTTAAAATCGACAAGAGTATTTTATTTTGCTTTTATTTTGATTTTACAGGATCTCCAGATAAGACTAAAAGAGATACAGTTCTAATAGATCTACTTTTACAGGATCTCCAGATAAGACTAAAAGAGATACAGTACTAATAGATCTACTTTTACAGGATCTCCAGATAAGACTAAGAGAGATACAGTACTAATAGATCTACTTTTACAGGATCTCCAGATAAGACTAAAAGAGATACAGTACTAATAGATCTACTTTTACAGGATCTCCAGATAAGACTAAAAGAGATACAGTACTAATAGATCTACTTTTACAGGATCTCCAGATAAGACTAAAAGAGATACAGTACTAATAGATCTACTTGTAAAAGGATCTCCAGATAAGACTAAAAGAGATACAGTACTAATAGATCTACTTTTACAGGATCTCCAGATAAGACTAAAAGAGATACAGTACTAATAGATCTACTTTTACAGGATCTCCAGATAAGACTAAAAGAGATACAGTACTAATAGATCTACTTTTACAGGATCTCCAGATAAGACTAAAAGAGATACAGTACTAATAGACCTACTTTTACAGGATCTCCAGATAAGACTAAGAGAGATAAGGTACTAATAGATCTACTTTTACAGGATCTCCAGATAAGACTAAAAGAGATACAGTACTAATAGATCTACTTTTACAGGATCTCCAGATAAGACTAAAAGAGATACAGTACTAATAGATCTACTTTTACAGGATCTCCAGATAAGACTAAGAGAGATACAGTACTAATAGATCTACTTTTACAGGTTCTCCAGGTAAGACTAAAAGAGATACAGTACTAATAGATCTACTTTTACAGGATCTCCAGATAAGACTAAAAGAGATACAGTACTAATAGATCTACTTTTACAGGATCTCCAGATAAGACTAAAAGAGATACAGTACTAATAGATCTACGCCCCACTACACCTGAACCTACACTAAGACGATCTTCCAGGGTAAAGAAGTTTAACGAGTTATCTGTTTTTAGCCAGTTATTTTTATTAGCCAGTCTTGAGCTTGTCTTTCTAGACTGTTTACGCGAAAAAAGTTGTTACGTTTATCATATTTTTGTCTGAATCGCGTAAAAAGTTTACGCGATTATTGAGACGAAAAATATGATAAATGTTATGAAATAATGAAAAATTATGCACATCGGTCTTGCATGGTAAATCAGTCAGTACGGAAAGTTAATAAGTAAAGATCCTATGTTGACCAGTTCTTTCTGAAACACAAGTTCATGTGCATGCTATCTGAATACAATATATGTACACATTTCATCCACTACACAAGCATTACTTCTACAATATGATGGTGTGTTGAGAGCAGCTTGTCAAGTACACTACAGGCATTATTGTCAATCTCCGAGCTTGTACAAATGAAAGTCCAGGTTCTAAGACGTTGATTTATTTATAGTAACAATTATTGGTCGTGACGGATAATGTTATTTTCAGAGGATTGTTCCGCCGTATTTGACGAAAAAGTTACAAAGAGCCCCTTCAAGTGACAGGTAAATTAGCTGTCAAGGGAGAAAGTTGTGATATGGAATTTAAAGGAGCCTACTTAGTACTTATTGGCTGAATTTTCGATCGAAAGAAACGTTTAAAATGACAATTATAGAATTATATATTGTATATGTTTCACAACAGTTTTTGGATGGTGGTGACCTTTGGTTGTTTTACATATTTATGTATAATCTATAATAATAATATTGCAATTTATTTCTTATTTTAATTTCAGTGATGACGAGACCGAAGACATTGCTTGGGAAAGTATGAGAAGAAACATGAAGAGTACTTCATTTTTTCCTTCTTCTAAATCTTGTGGCACCGATGAAAAGATAGACTCTCCCTCGACTAAACCTACAAGTGTGTCAACTGGTGTTTCAACTCAAAGTTCTGGTGTTTCAACCCAAAGTACCGGAGTTTCAACTCAAAACACCGGAGTTTCAACTCAAAACACCGGAGTATCAACTCAAAGTACCGGAGTTTCAACCCAAAGTTTTGGTACTTCAACTCAAAATAGGATTTCCCTAAACAGAAACTCCGGAAACATCTCCACAACTGTCAACTCCAATTTTATTATCCAGGAAATGAACGGCTCAACAAGGGTTCTTAAATCATCAACAGAACTTAACACTACAACAGTTCAAACGAACGGATCTGCAACTGGGCGAGCTACTTTCTCAGATGATCAAAGTAATAAAGAAGACCTCCCATCCAATCTGAAAAGAACTGCTAGAACGAGATCCAAAGAAGGAAAGAGACGTTTAAAAAGAACATCAGACGAAACAAATGATCCAGAGAAGGCTTCAAACAAGAACAACACCGCTCACATCATAAACAAGAAGTGTGTCGCTTGGGCAGATGTAGTTGACAATAATCAAGGTAACGAAAACGAAATCGTCAAACAAAAGGATAATGCTCAAAACAAAACTCAAAAACAGATCGAGGATGAAATAATCGTAAAGAAGAAAAAAGAAGAAGGAGCGATCTTGAAATCACAGCGGTTGGAACAAATGAGAGTAAGAGAAAAACGGGCTGAGTACCGTAAGTAACTTATATATGTATAATACGTTTTTGTTAAGTTTGTTACACTATTAGATCATTCATGGCAATCATCCTACTATTGATTATTGAGTTATAAAAATTACCTGAGCTCCGGGAATTATCAAGCGGAGCCCGAAGAGCCGAAGGCATTATTATATTATAATATTTTCCGGTTCTCCGATTGGAAGGGGTGTAATCCGATACGTGCGCATGATACAATATAGTGTCTAATATATAGAACGCCAGTGTTATTTGTTTTACAACTTGCCGCCAGCCAGTCTGAGGTCTATGCTGATAATACCTTGGCTTCCCTTGCGGGATATATCGGCAAATTATCAGCTCTCAGTGTCCGAGACTTTTAGTGGATATATATACATATCACCGGAGACTCGCGGGCGGAACAAAATATTGCACGCGCACGCGCGTGCAATATTTCATATGTCCCCGAGGGCGCTAGCCCGAGGAGGACATATTTTCGTATAGCACGGAGGGCCCATTGGGCCCGAGTGCTATACGATTTTTCCGCCCGCGGGTCGAGGTGATGTGGATTATATCCACCAGCGGGCGTATTACAGTTAATATATAATTTTATAAATAAACAATGGAGCTTGTATAAAAGTCAACTATAGAAAAGGTCGCCACTAATTGTTGTAACCATGGTAACACGTCACGTGTTCAATGTAAGCCAATCATAAAGGGCTGTGTCGTATATAGGGGCTGGAGATGCACTGCATTCCTGGGCCGTGGGAATAATGAATGTAATGTCAGTGACGATGAATATCAATAATATAGGGGGATTATAGTGCTGATGTGTATCATTATGTAGTGTGTTATAATAACTTTGATATATATCAAAGTATCATGTCATCTGATCACGAGCTGCATGAGCAGCCCTACCGGACACAAAAATAAAATGTATATAATATAGTCAGTGTAATAAGGAATTTCGAATTCACATGGATACAATACAGAAACTGAAAATATTTTAGAGAACTCCGGGCGATATTGCTACTGGTCAAATTAAATGTCACTTGTTAGCGGGCTATATCATGAGCGGGCTGTAGAGATATCGGGCCCTTTGACAGCGGGCTGGTGAGAGCCCGCTATGCGAAAAAGCGCACGCTGGTGGATATAATTCCCGGAAGGTATTATACCTTTAATAATAGCTTACACGAATGATATTCACCAGGAATAGTTAAAGACATCATTATTATGCCTCCACAATTGTTGTGCTGTATAGTTTGAATCCACATTTGCATTGTTCTGATTGGTAAAATTTAGTTTTCTTTACATAAAGAAACGGTCCGATCATAACCTGAAAAAAAATATTTGAAAACCTGATTCCTTCAGGGACGAGACTGGAAGAACAGAACCGAGACCGGTCATCCACCCAGCTTATCCTTGACATAGAGGAGAGTTACAGTGAAAGATTACACGATGTGTCAGAAGACATGTTGGATAGCTGCACTGACCAACTACTGGTACTACAACTTATGATAGATAACCAAGGTGCGCGGGGCTAAAGTTTTGTTAATAAGTTACCTATTTTAAGTTTCTTAGTTTCTGTCATGTATCATATTATTAAGATATTACATTTTTATGATGTTGCGTTATGTTCTGATGATATAAATCAAGAGGCTTGCATATAATGAACATATTGACACGGGTGCAGAGTTGAGTCTGTACGGAACCTAGTAGTTTCAGATCCTTGTTTAACTTGCCGTACAGCAAGGTCATCCACTACTTTAGCCCGGCGAGGCACATAACTCCCTCTACAACTCCATGACAAATGTTTCATATATACTAGCCGAGTTCACAAGAATATATCCTTGTGTTTGAGAAGAGCTCGTTAGAACTGCTTCCTTTCCCTTCAGTATCCCACAGTCTCTCGAGTTTCGTAACTGCCAGAGAACTCTCTTAAACAATTACTAGACTCGGTGATTATAAATCAAGAGGCTTGCATATAATGAACATATTGACACGGGTGCAGAGTTGAGTCTGTACGGAACCTAGTAGTTTCAGATCCTTGTTTAACTTGCCGTACAGCAAGGTCATCCACTACTTTAGCCCGGCGAGGCACATAACTCCCTCTACAACTCCATGACAAATGTTTCATATATACTAGCCGAGTTCACAAGAATATATCCTTGTGTTTGAGAAGAGCTCGTTAGAACTGCTTCCTTTCCCTTCAGTATCCCACAGTCTCTCGAGTTTCGTAACTGCCAGAGAACTCTCTTAAACAATTACTAGACTCGGTGATTATAAATCAAGAGGCTTGCATATAATGAACATATTGACACGGGTGCAGAGTTGAGTCTGTACGGAACCTAGTAGTTTCAGATCCTTGTTTAACTTGCCGTACAGCAAGGTCATCCACTACTTTAGCCCGGCGAGGCACATAACTCCCTCTACAACTCCATGACAAATGTTTCATATATACTAGCCGAGTTCACAAGAATATATCCTTGTGTTTGAGAAGAGCTCGTTAGAACTGCTTCCTTTCCCTTCAGTATGACAGAATATTGCGATAAAAGATCATGCTCTATAATAAAATACTGTACTTAACTTTGGTACCACTCTTAATTCTTATAACACTATTTCTCTGCCCCCACTATTTCCATACCTCATTTCATACTTATATTTGTTATTAAATTATCATTTAAATTATCATTTAAATTATTATTTAAATTATTATTTAAATTATTATAATTAAATTATGTATAATTCAAATTATCATTTAAATTGTTATAAAATAATTATTTTATTATTCCAGGAGAGTTATCCTCGCTACCACCAGAATACTACTCATACTGTTACAATGACATACCAACAGTTAGCTACTACGGTACCGAGGGAGTTCTAACTTGGATGCTTACCTCTCAGAATAAGCCATTCCAAGTGATCGCTGCTAGACTTACTTTTATCAAGTTAGAAGTTATTTGTATTAAGTTATATTAAGTTATATTAAGTTTTTTATATTAGCACATTTTATAGTAATCTGTAGTTTGGAGAGTGCTGTTTTGTCAACTCTGATAGGTTATTAAATATGGGTACTAGTTTTTAAGACAGGTGCCAACTTGAATATACTGTAACCTGGTTAGCAGCTTTACTGAAAAGAAAAAAGCGATCTCTTAAAATTCCCTCTTGAACAAAAAACACACTCTGTATAAAATGTCCATGTCTCAACGATCCACCAAATAGTTTATTTCAGCAATTGTTTGACGTACGTGTTCCTGGTGAAGAGTTGCTCGAACCCTATCTCCTCTACTTTCTATAAAGATGTCGGACTGTACCTCTCCTCTCACTCCATAGCTCAGTCAGATCCCCAACTCTTCAAGTGAGAATACCACCAACTTTTAATAAAAGAAATGTGTTCTCCATTCTGATTTCATATCTGTTTTCTGATTTCATATTTTGTAAACCTCTTAAATCGGTTGGCCGTTCGCGTCAGCCAGTTTCTTACCAGTAGTAACTTACCAGTAGTTACCAGTAGTTACTTACCAGTAGTTACCAGTAGTTACTTACCAAAGTAATCATTCCCAGATCCACTCTACTGAACCCACGTGACTACCCGCTCTGTGAACCACTAAACAAGTTGTTCCTGGTATCTAAATACAACAAGAACTTGTGCACGTGGTTTACTGCTCAGCCTGCTTGGTATACGTGTAACTTGGCTCACGATAAGGTCAGTTCTCATTTCTATACGTGTAACTTGGCTCACGATAAGGTCAGTTCTCATTTATATACGTGTAACTTGGCTCACGATAAGGTCAGTTCTCATTTCTATACGTGTAACTTGGCTCACGATAAGGTCAGTTCTCATTTATATACGTGTAATTTGGCTCACGATAATGTCAGTTCTCATTTATATACGTGTAATTTGGCTCACGATAAGGTCAGTTCTCATTTCTATACCTGTAACTTGGCTCACGATAATGTCAGTTCTCATTTATATACGTGTAATTTGGCTCACGATAAGGTCAGTTCTCATTTATATACGTGTAATTTGGCTCACGATAATGTCAGTTCTCATTTATATACGTGTAATTTGGCTCACGATAAGGTCAGTTCTCATTTCTATACCTGTAACTTGGCTCACGATAATGTCAGTTCTCATTTATATACGTGTAATTTGGCTCACGATAAGGTCAGTTCTCATTTATATACGTGTAATTTGGCTCACGATAAGGTCAGTTCTCATTTATATACGTGTAATTTCTATACGTGTAACTTGGCTCACGATAAGGTCAGTTCTCATTTATATACCTGTAACTTGGCTCACGATAAGGTCAGTTCTCATTTATATACCTGTAACTTGGCTCACGATAAGGTCAGTTCTCATTTATATACCTGTAACTTGGCTCACGATAAGGTCAGTTCTCATTTATATACCTGTAACTTGGCTCACGATAAGGTCAGTTCTCATTTATATACCTGTAACTTGGCTCACGATAAGGTCAGTTCTCATTTATATACCTGTAACTTGGCTCACGATAAGGTCAGTTCTCATTTATATACCTGTAACTTGGCTCACGATAAGGTCAGTTCTCATTTATATACGTGCAACTTGGCTCACGATAATGTCAGTTCTCATTTATATACGTGTAACTTGGCTCACGATAAGGTCAGTTCTCATTTATATACGTGTAACTTGGCTCACGATAATGTCAGTTCTCATTTATATACCTGTAACTTGGCTCACGATAATGTCAGTTCTCATTTATATACGTGCAACTTGGCTCACGATAAGGTCAGTTCTCATTTATATACCTGTAACTTGGCTCACGATAAGGTCAGTTCTCATTTCTATACGTGTAACTTGGCTCACGATAAGGTCAGTTCTCATTTATATACGTGCAACTTGGCTCACGATAAGGTCAGTTCTCATTTCTATATGTGTAACTTGGCTCACGATAAGGTCAGTTCTCATTTATATACGAGTGCAATTTTTAAGTTAGAATAACAAAAGTAACGAGTCAGTTTTGAAAATGGGTTTTACTTATTGGTTTTAAAAATGTACCGATAAGAGAGGAGAGTGTATGATGTTAAGTCTGAGTTCTACAGATTTGCAGAGCGCCCTGCTGTCACATGTCTGTCACATGTCTATACAATACATGTCACATGTCTATACAATACATGTCACGTGTTGTCACGTGTCTATACAATACATGTCACATGTGGTCACATGTCTATACAATACATGTCACATGTGGTCACGTGTCTATACAATACATGTCACATGTCTATACAATACATGTCACATGTGGTCACGTGTATATACAATACATGTCACATGTCTATACAATACATGTCACGTGTTGTCACGTGTCTATACAATACATGTCACATGTGGTCACATGTCTATACAATACATGTCACATGTGGTCACATGTCTATACAATACATGTCACATGTGGTCACGTATCTATACAATACATGTCACATGTGGTCACGTATCTATACAATACATGTCACATGTCTATACAATACATGTCACATGTGGTCACGTGTATATACAATACATGTCACATGTCTATACAATACATGTCACGTGTTGTCACGTGTCTATACAATACATGTCACATGTGGTCACATGTCTATACAATACATGTCACATGTGGTCACATGTCTATACAATACATGTCACATGTGGTCACGTATCTATACAATACATGTCACATGTTGTCACATTTCTATGATACAATCACTCTTCCAGGTTAACGAAGTCCACGGTACAAAGACAAAACAGAGGATGACACTGTCAGAGATACAGAACAACGTGTCCCCTGTTTCCAGTACTGAGTTCTGTGTTTCCACATTGGCTGGGGGCATTCTTACTTCTCAGGTATATAATATCAACATTCAACATAGACTGACAAAATTTTCTTATCGTCATTACATTTTGTTCGAAGTGGAACCTACCAAAAATCTACATACGGTTTCCTGAAAAATCTGTACGATTTCCTGAACGTTTACAAACGTTAAAATCTTATTGTTAATTATGTATATAATAATTGTTTTATGTATAATTAATAATTAAAAATCACTTACTCTGAGTAAATTATAGAACGTTCCGAGTGCAACTGATTTTCAGGCGGGTTTATTCTACGTGTTGTCGAGTATACGTGATACCCAGCTGGAGATATCAGCACTTAGACTGGTACAAACTGTATATACTGGAGTATACTGGAGTATACTAGAGTATACTAGAGTATACTGTCCGAGTATACTGGAGTATACTGTATATACTGTATATACTGAAGTGCAACTGATTTTCAGGCGGGTTTATTCTACGTGTTGTCGAGTATACGTGATACACAGCTGGAGATATCAGCACTTAGACTGGTACAAACTGTATATACTGGAGTATACTGGAGTATACTGGAGTATACTAGAGTATACTAGAGTATACTGGAGTATACTGGAGTATACTGTATATACTGTATATACTGAAGTGCAACTGATTTTCAGGCGGGTTTATTCTACGTGTTGTCGAGTATACGTGATACACAGCTGGAGATATCAGCACTTAGACTGGTACAAACTGACACATCTCAACAAACTCTTTGTCTGGTACTGTCAGGGTACTCGGCTATTGGCAAATGGTCAGGTAGGAATACATTAGTTGCTAGTTACTAATTAGTTATTAGTTGCTAATTAGTATAGACATGAGTTACCTCCATGCCAGGGCATTCAACCTGGGATGAAATGAATGAAATGAGGTATCTATATCCCGCTTATATGATTAACCAACAGCTCAAGGAAGGTGGTTAACCATGTCAGAGCGGCTGACTGTGAGTGATGTGAGCAAATGTGCAAAAATGAACAAGAGTATAACTCAATATAAGGCTAAGATTCATCTTTAGATTAAGATATTGCTTTCATACATTCGGTGAAATATGCACGTTCGTGTTATAATTTTCTAGCATTGTATATCGTCACCTACAAATAGAAAGGGCTTATGTCGAAAAATGTCGTTTTGAGATAATCAATAAAAACCTATTTACGGAAATGGAAAAAATGACTGGCCTACACTCTGAAAATGTTCCTGAAGCTTTTCAATTAATTGGGGTAATTGATTTAATTTTGACATAGGCCCTCATAGGCCCTTTAAAAAAATATTCAATACATAGGCCACTCTTAATTAATTGAAACATCTTACATGTGAGAATCGGTACAGGGCGTATGTGTACATAGGTCCTTTTAACTTTTCAAATTATTTCTTTAAACATCACATTCCAACAATTTGTTAGGGCATATGTTGACTTAGGCCCTTTCTACTTTTCAAAAACATCACACCTCAACAATTTGTTAGGGCATATGTTGACTTGGGCCCTTTCTACTTTTCAAAAACATCATCAAAAACATCACATTCCAACAATTTGTTAGGGCATATGTCGACATGGGCCCTTTTTATTTTATCAATATCAGTAGCAGTTCAGTTTATTGAAAAAGGACTATGTTAATATAGGCCCTTTTAAAAAATTAGAGATATTCAATTTTCACCCAATTGACTTTATATTTGGGGATATGGTAGGTATGGTTCCACAGATTATCGTGCTGGTATAGCTTTTTAAAAGGGCCTATGTCGACATAAGCCCTTTCTATATTTTGTAGGTGACGATATATCTATATTATATTTTAAACTTGACGAAATTTCCCCGGCAACGGGGACATAGAAGAAAAAACACCGAAAATCGACCTCAAAATGACCCTCTGGTGATGCCAAACCCAGCTCGCAAATGGAGTTGAAACCTCGCCATTTTTAGCAGGGTTGTAGAAAAAGGATAGGAATAGGCTATAGCATTCTTAGAATTTTGATTTAGGCTTTAGATTTTTTATAATTAACGTCGGAAGTGAGGTTAAATAATCGTTAGAATAATGGCGTTATTTAAGCAAAGGTTTACTGCGCTGTTGCGTAGCAACGATAAAAATGCACGTGTGCGAGCAACCACAGATTAACAACGCGCGTTGTTATGCTGTATGATACGTCATAATTTCAAAACTAGCTCACATTTACGCTTACGCTATGACTTCTTATAACTTTGTTTGTGATTGCAATATTTTGATGCAGTAAAAAGTATCGATACTTTTTTTTCGATACTAAATTCGCTAGAGCTACACACAATGCTGACATGACGCCGCGCACACACAATCAACAAAAATATTGTTGTTTTCTAATTACGCAAATAACTTTGCGCAGTTAAACATTTTAATTGCCTGGCAATAATTCAATTGACTGTCATTCTCGATTGAAATATCAGAATTTCACAACTAGCTCACATTTACCCTCATGACGCTATATACCTATATATATTTATAACTTTGGTTGTGATTGAAATTTTTTGATGCGGTAAAAAGTATCGTTTTGGGGCTATATGATGAAGAGAAATTAAAAAATAACTGATGCTTAAAATTTCCTCGAACAAAGCTTTCGACTAGCGGCGGGTTTCTAGTAGTATATATTATATAGATATAATCATAGTATATATATATATAATTTCGTTCTGTGTAATTATAAAATCAAAATAAAGAACATTGGGTTGATTGCAGATGTTGATTCCCTCAATATTACGCCCCACTATTTCAGATAAACTAGGAGCTGTGGACAGGGAACTGGCTCTGCGAACCAACTCCAACAGTGTGCGAGCTGTACTGACTCAGCTGGATATAGACCAGTTCTCACTCACTAACACCAGAACATCTGATAAAACCAGGTAATTGTGTGACGTCACGTGATGAGCAGTGTGACGTAACGTGATGAGCAGTGTGACGTCACGTGATGAGCAGTGTGACGTCACGTGATGAGCAGTGTGACGTCACGTGATGAGCAGTGTGACATCACGTGATGTGCAGTGTGACGTCACGTGATGAGCAGTGTGACGTCACGTGATGAGCAGTGTGATGTCACGTGATAAGGTGTGGCGTAACGTGAGAAATTGTGTGACGTCACGTGATGAGCAGTGTGACGTCACGCGAGGAGTTATATACACATTATACAGGTGTTTTATTGTGCGGTGTACAATCTGTCCAGCTCATTATTTAGATATTATAACAATTAATCTAACAGCAACCTCCCCAGACAGGAACTAGCCCGCTACTTTGGGTACAGATTCCAGGACGCAGCTCCCCCCAGAACTTCTGAACCTACCTACCCTCTCGTCTTCGAACGGTCCTACGATTACTTCTTCCTTCTGGTATCACCCCTCATTTCACCATCTCTGTTGGGGGAGATATTATCTGTTCTTCAGGATAGTGGTGTTTCTTTGCTCGGTTAGTTTTACTCGGGAATCGTTTCGTTTGTGTTCTTACACCCTAATACGGCCACAGTTATTTAGCCACAGTGTAGTTCTTCTTGTAAATAATGCATTATCCGTACAAATTTGATCAAGAACTTGGCTTCTGAAATAAGCAACATTTTTTTGCGTTTCATCATAGCCCATAAATTTAAAATGCAAACTGTTAAACTATTTTCTAGGCGTTAGAAGAAGTAGACTAAACTACAGGAAATGTGTTGGACTGGGACTATCTGAATGTCAGACGAAAGTGTTCTCTAAGTTTAACGGAACTCCCCTCACCTCACCCTCACTATCTAGTTCTAATGGTTCTACTCCTGGAGAAGAAAGACAGTTCTTCCCTCAGGTGGGACTTTTCAATCATGTCGTCACTTGTTTCATGATTTATGATATCACATGTTTTGTGATGTTTTATCTTAAATGCGAATAGTGCTTTGGAAATCATGATTGATAATTCCATTCAGCATGATTTTGCTTTGATGTTTATGAATTTTCTCTGCAGTTTATATGCACAGTGCACGGTGCATTTCGCCACCTTTGAAATGCTAAGCACCGTCACTAGGGTAACATATCTTAACCACGTGACATGACGTCACACTACGTGACTCGCCCACGTGACTCGCCCACGTGACGTGTATTCACATAACCATTACTCTCAGAACTTTACAACGGACGCGTCCCCCTCACAACCCACCTTGGCTTCCACCGTCCTGTTCCTGTCCAAACGTAACGGTATCTACCACTCCCGTCACCTGGTAAAGGAACTGAAAACACGGGTAGTTGATGTTAACATGAGTCATACCTTGCAGACTTCCGATACTTTTAATAGCAGGGAACAGCTGTCAGGTTTGTGATATTATCTGAGATATAGTTATTAGTCGCGTGATTCATGACGTCACCTGTTTCATGACGTTATGTGTTTCATGACGTCACCTATTTTCGTGACGCAAAATCGCTTCAAGACTCATTTTTTTCACATATTTGTACGATAATCATGAGATAATACCTTCAGATCCCTATCTGTATTTTGAGATAGTGCCGCATTCTGAGAACAACCTGTGGAATGTTGGTGGTCAGTTTGGTCTTATGCCGGAGAGGAAAACATTCGACTTCTTCATGTCTCACAAACAGGTGATTGAGGGTACAAAATCTGTATTTTACATGGTAAAATTATTTCTTATTATATCTGTAGTGACTAAATTTATGGTAGACTAAATTTACCGTAAATATTTTTTGCCGCGAATATGCCGCGATTTTCGAAGTTTTTGTTGCTATTTTCTTTTGTCCTTGTGTGGCTCTGTCTGATTTCCCGAACAAATTCAAAATTTTCACGAAAATTGTTACCAAAAAAAGTAGCTCATTATACGTATTACGTAATTGTGAAATCAATTATATTTTATTCATTACGTGCCTCAGAACTGTGTCGGTACTTTGGGGTGGTATTTTTAGTTTAAATCACTCTCTTCGCTAGCCTCACCACTCTTAAATCAGGGTTTTTCTCAGTCTACTCAACAAAATATTGTTATCAGATCACATAGGATAGTCGTATATAATCTGACTTTTCTCTCGCTAATAATCCTTTCCCGACCCCGTGACTCTGCCAGCTACTATCACGTGACTATGATATAGTAACTGTTTTCTCCTCGTCATGAGGAGGTAAGGAGTTATTATGTATTTTGCGCACTACTTTTTTACATCAATTTTGTCTCTATAACTTTTTATGTCCTATGCATACACTCCTTGATAGTTATCTTGATCTAGTATCTTTGTTTCACACAATAGAGCATAAGTTTTGTGGTTTATCCACTGGGCTTAGATTTTGTGTCTGAGCTACCAAATTTTCTTATTATTATTTATTATAATAAATATATTTGAAGTAAACAAATCTGGTCGCAAACAAACAAATTATGCTGGATGAATTATTACTAGCAGGAAGACTCAAGAGACTGAAATAATTAAATTTTGGGCTCTAAAATCCCTATTCCTTGGCCTATTTTTTATTTTTTCATGCTGATTTGAAAAGCATAAAAGCATTCGACCCAGTCAAAAAAGTTTCAGTTGTATTTCTTTTACGGTTTTTTTACGGAAAGTCACATTAAAGTTGATGCCGTGGTGTCAGTAAAATGGCACGGATCCATCCATATAGAATATATATATATATATAGTCTCGCTTTATATATAGTAAGATGAACCAAATCTGCGATAGAGTAGCATACCCATAAAGTGGTTTGTACGGAGTAATCCTCTCCCGACCCCGTGACTCTGCCAGCTACTATCACGTGACTATGGAATAGGAACTTTTTTCTCCTCGTCATGATGATGGATTATCAACCAAATCTGCGATAGAGTAGCACAGTGGCGTAAGGTTGCCTGTTGGCCCCCAATTTTAGTCACTTTTTTCGAATTTCCGAGACCATTTTCCATTCCATTTATTTGATTTTTCCATTATTTAGCTAGTTTTGTTGTTTCCCATTTCGCACATAAATTCATACTTTAAAAGTTTAAAGTCAGGCATGTTGATTAAATGATTTATTACATTTAATGTCTCCCTGTTTGAATTCTAACGACGAGCCAAGATTACATCCATCAGTTACATTACATAACATCAAATTTCTTAGTTCATGCAGTAGGATCCTGTGTACAGTTAGCAATATTTAACGGTTTATTATAACATAATATAGCAGCAGTTTTAAAAGTTCAATTCTAGAATTAAACTAGATGCAGATAGTACTGCCTGATGGGAAAAGGAAGTAAGAGAATGTTAAAACATAAAAGCAGTGGATTACACGTTTAATAGTCAAAGTAGCTCAGCAGTAGGAACGCGAACGGTGATGTCACTATATTAATTATAAACAATGTAAGCTCAATAATATTCATGTCAAAATTCTGACTAAATTTATGGTAGACTACATTTGTCGTTTTTAAGGTATATTATACCGTAAATATGTTTTTTCCGCGAATATGCCGCGATTTTCGAAATTTTGGTTGCAATTTTAACAATTTTAGGTCATCGCAGCGCCGCGATTTTTGGCCTAAATAATCACGATTTTCTTTTGTCCTTGTGTGGCTCTATCTGATTTCCCGAACAAATTCAAAATTTTCACGAAAATTGTTACCAAAAAAAGTAGCTCATTATACGTTTTACGTAGTTGTGAAATCAATTATATTTTATTCATTACGTGCCTCAGAACTGTGTCGGTACTTTGGGGTGGTATTTTTAGTTTAAATCACTCTCTTCGCTAGCCTCACCACTCTTAAATCAGGGTTTTTCTCAGTCTACTCAACAAAATATTGTTATCAGATCACATAGGATAGTCGTATATAATCTGACTTTTCTCTCGCTAATAATCCTCTCCCGACCCCGTGACTCTGCCAGCTACTATCACGTGACTATGATATAGTAACTGTTTTCTCCTCGTCATGAGGAGGTTAGGAGTTATTATGTATTTTGCGCACTACTTTTTTACATCAATTTTGTCTCTATAACTTTTTATGTCCTATGCATACACTCCTTGATAGTTATCTTGATCTAGTATCTTTGTTTCACACAATAGAGCATAAGTTTTGTGGTTTATCCACTGGGCTTAGATTTTGTGTCTAAGCTACCAAATTTTCTTATTATTATTTATTATAATAAATATATTTGAAGTAAACAAATCTGGTCGCAAACAAAAAAATTATGCTGGATGAATTATTACTAGCAGGAAGCCGTATAACCCTAAATGGTGTCAAGACTCAAGAGACTGAAATAATTATGACCTATTTAAATCGCGTTTTTGACACCACTTGGGGGTCCAAATTTTGGGCTCTAAAATCCCTATTCCTTGGCCAATTTTTTATTTTTTCATGCTGATTTGAAAAGCATAAAAGCATTCGACCCAATCAAAAAAGTTTCAGTTGTATATCTTTTACGGTTTTTTTGCGGAAAGTCACATTAAAGTTGATGCCGTGGTGTCAGTAAAATGGCACGGATCCATCCATATAGAATATATATATATATATAGTCTCGCTTTATATATAGTAAGATGAACCAAATCTGCGATAGAGTAGCATAGCCATAAAATGGTTTGTACGGAGTAATCCTCTCCCGACCCCGTGACTCTGCCAGCTACTATCACGTGACTATTGAATAGTAACTTTTTTCTCCTCGTCATGATGATGGATTATCAACCAAATCTGCGATAGAGTAGCACAGTGGCGTAAGGTTGCCTGTTGGCCCCCAATTTTAGTCACTTTTTTCGAATTTCCGAGACCATTTTCCATTCCATTTATTTGATTTTTCCATTATTTAGCTAGTTTTGTTGTTTCCCATTTCGCACATAAATTCATACTTTAAAAGTTTAAAGTCAGGCATGTTGATTAAATGATTTATTACATTTAATGTCTCCCTGTTTGAATTCTAACGACGAGCCAACATTACATCCATCAGTTACATTACATAACATCAAATTTCTTAGTTCATGCAGTAGGATCCTGTGTACAGTTAGCAATATTTAACGGTTTATTATAACATAATATAGCAGCAGTTTTAAAAGTTCAATTCTAGAATTAAACTAGATGCAGATAGTACTGCCTGATGGGAAAAGGAAGTAAGAGAATGTTAAAACATAAAAGCAGTGGATTACACGTTTAATAGTCAAAGTAGCTCAGCAGTAGGAACGGTGATGTCACTATATTAATTATAAACAATGTAAGCTCAATAATATTCATGTCAAAATTCTGACTAAATTTATGGTAGACTACATTTGTCGTTTTTAAGGTATATTATACCGTAAATATGTTTTTTCCGCGAATATGCCGCGATTTTCGAAATTTTGGTTGCAATTTTAACAATTTTAGCTCATCGCAGCGCCGCGATTTTTGGCCTAAATAATCACGATTTTCTTTTGTCCTTGTGTAGCTCTGTCTGATTTCCCGAACAAATTCAAAATTTTCACGAAAATTGTTACCAAAAAAAGTAGCTCATTAATCATTATACGTTTTACGTAATTGTGAACATTTTGTATCAATATATTTTATTCATTACGTGCCTCAGAACTGTGTCCGTACTTGTGGTATAATTAGCCAGCATTTTGGGAATCGGTTGCGTGTTTATTTTTTCATAGCCAATTTGACAATTTTTAACGCCGTCTTAGGAATCCTTAGTTTTAATACACGCTAAATAGTACAATTTTACATTGTCTCCGTTAACAGAGTTGTCTTTGTTGATATTTATTTTAATGAAAGCGGGTAATTTACCCGCATACATTGAAAATAAATTTCACCTGCTGGGTAAATAATATTCTGTTTTAACGAAACATTCTTGTAATGATCAGGTTACATTCTGTCGAACATGCAAACGAACAACAAAACGCTATATGCTATCAGAGATAATGAGGAGCGGTCACTTCTTATATTGTGGAACTTTATAGTTATTCTGTCGTCACTTATAGGGGACAGTATCATTTTGATAGCGACTATTAAGTACAAAGCCATCAAACTCCATAAAGTGATAATAACAGTAATGCAACACATGGCTGTTTGTGACTTATTACAAACAGTATTCAGAGTGTTCCCTGGTACTCTGGCAATAATATCAGATCGTTCGGTTTTTGGAGTGTTACTCTGTCATGTGCAGGACAATGTTGGCTGGGTTTGCAATTTCGTGACAGTGCTTCTGACATGTGCTATGACCACTCTGAAACTGATAATAGTGAAGTATCCTCTGAGAACTAGTGCCTGGTCTACACGGTTAGGACATAAAATCTGTTCTGCTGTGTGGCTCTTAGCACTTGGTGGGTGCACTCCAGCACTAGTATTGAACATGCTTTACATCAGAGACACAATCCACTTTGACTACATAGTCTATATTTGTCATTATGATCTCGGCTCACCCAGTGTACCAACCTGGTTCCCATGGTACTTTATTATCAGTGGTGCTGTGTTCGGTATCCTCCCCTCCACCATACTCATCCTTACATCAGTTCTCCTCCTGATCGTGGCTAGTAGAGCTGCCTCCCGACACGGAATAAAAATGAGATGGGGAGGTGTGATGACAGTGCTGCTCACTGTCGGAGTGTTCTTTATATCTTACCTGCCATTCATTGCGACAAAACATTGGGGAGTTAAATACAGCACCACTTCCATTCGAGTAATGTTGTATCTCACTTACCTGAATATAATGTCTAACTTCTTTGTGTACTCCCTTACTGTGAGAAGTTTTAGACATTTCCTAAAAGTGAAGACATCCGAACTCTTTACCTTAATGAGGCTGTCCATGCAAGGAGGACGACAACTCCAACAAAGACATCAAAGACCAGTCGGGCAGAGACCATATCCAAGGCAAGATCCTCCAGAGGTGCAAGGTGATGATATCCTAACTCCTGCTGTAGAGCTACAAGGAATGCAGTTACAGGAAGATGAGATACAACAAAACTTCCCAGATATTGTGGATACGCCCGTTTAGTGTTCAATGAGACAGCTTCGTAATATTTTATGCATGAAAATGAAACTGCATTACTTATTACATAAATTATGTATCATAGTATTAGTGTTTCATTAATTGTACAATTTGTCATGTTCTTTCAATGTGACCTTCGATTTAAGAATCTTTACGGTGTCTTTTCTTATAATTTGCTATTCTTTTTTAACTTTTAAAAATTGAAAATGTTTCAATATTACCAATAATTACAGAACATTTCATTATTTTAACATCGTTCATAAGTTTTTGATAACTAATTGTTTTGTATCGATAAATGTAAATTATGTGTTGCTTTTATCCTAGAATGGTGATTAGATCAAGTTAAATTAGTTAAAATGTAATTAAAATGTTTTGTGCGATAATGTTGAAGAAAAATTTGATTTACTTTCATTGAAAATTATTTTGAAATCTTTCTAAGGTGACAAAATTTGCCTTTTATTTCGATTTCCGACATATTTTAACATATTTCAGCATATTCAACACATTTAACATAAACTTCAGGACACATTTTAACATATTTCAGCATATTCAACACATTTTACATAAACCTCAGGACGTGATAACAGAGAAATGTGACTTAGAACAGATAGTGTTCGTAGCTCTTATCGGTAAAGATGTGGCCGCTACAGCTGGGCGCGAGATACACGCTTTCGTTCATTTCTGTGGTATGTTTCGTGAATTTTATAGTCTTTTCGTGATGTTGTTCATGTCTACAAAAAACTCTTAGTATTTTCAATTAGTATATTTATTAATCAGAAATGTTCATCAGAAACATCACAACAATGCGACCCATAAATAATGTTCCTATCCGTATATTACATATCTATATAATTATATTCAACTAACAGAGCAACTTAACTTTTCACAGACACGTTGGGAATAGAGGTACCAGAGAATGAGACAGGTCAGCTGGAACTGTTGGGAGTTAAACTCATCAGTAAACTTAACTCCTTCCAAGCTAGAGAAGTTACTCAGTACGAAGTGGGTGATCCACATTGGAAGAGTGACATTCAGTTCCTTCAGACAGGTACTTTGGGTGACGTCACCAAGTTTTTACCGCAGTATTTCTATTTCTTGCATATAACTATTTAATACCTTTAACTCTTTGTGTCTTCGTTGATGATTAGGGACTGTCAATAAATAAATCATGTTTTCAAATATCAATTTATTACTGAACAATAAAAATCACATCAACCGAAACATTTTCCTTATCTTTTCAGTGCCCATAATCTCTCTGCTGTTCCGAGGAATCAACGCTTTCCAAATTATCAAACAGCTCCTCTCCCGCTCCACCACGTGCACTACTCCCAGCATCAGATCACGTGACGATACGCCTGCACGTGGGCGTGGATCACGTGACCATTGCAGCAGTATCATGTCAGAGACACCAGAACATGCGTACAAGCTAGCCAGTCTGCTGTTCTTTGAGAAGGAACTGTACAGTGACGAGATCATGAGGCCTAAACAATTACATCTACCCCCACCCAGGACTCATGTTAATAGTATCATCAGCAAGGAGGGTGGGTACTTTCTGATCAACCACTAATTATATCAAAAATCATGCTATATTTTGTTGCCGGATAATTGTTCATTATGTCAAATAAAGTTTAGCTATTTGCGCCCTAAAGCGAACCCTACCACCAATACTCTGAAACCAACTTTATTATTTCTCATTACCCAGCTCTTACCCCTCTAACCCCTCTAACCCCTCTAACCCTTCTAACCCCTCTAACCCCACAAACCCCTCTAACCCCACAAACCCCTCTAACCCCTCTAACCCCACAAACCCCTCTAACCCCTCTAACCCCACAAACCCCTCTAACCCCACAAACCCCTCTAACCCCACAAACCCCTCTAACCCCACAAACCCCTCTAACCCCACAAACCTCTCTAACCCCACAAACCCCACAAACCCCTCTAACCCCACTAACCCCTTTAACCCTTCTAACCCCTCTAACCCCACAAACCCCTCTAACCCCACAAACCCCTCTAACCCCACAAACCCCTCTAACCCCACAAACCCCTCTAACCCCACAAACCCCTCTAACCCCACAAACCCCTCTAACCCCACAAACCTCTCTAACCCCACAAACCCCACAAACCCCTCTAACCCCACTAACCCCTTTAACCCCACAAACCCCTCTAACCCCACAAACCCCTCTAACCCCACAAACCTCTCTAACCCCACAAACCCCACAAACCCCTCTAACCCCACTAACCCCTTTAACCCCACAAACCCCTCTAACCCCTCTGACCCCTCCACAGGAAGACACCACTTATCAGACCTACCTGACAGACTAGTCTACCAATCAGAGGGGATACTGAAGAGCATGTTAGCTCCTCCCAGGCTACTCGCCTCTATCTTAGTGACGTCACAAGTTAATCATTTTGGCAAGATACTCAAGAGGTTGGAACAAGAAGGTTAGAGGTGTAGACTGTCATTTGTGGTTCAACTCTTGAAGGATTAGATAATATATATTATTGTTAGCAAAGAAATTGTGTCTACTTTAGCTTTATTACTATGTTTTGATTTGTCGAAATTATTTCAAATGAGCACATTCTACTGTTGGTGTAGGTAAGTAAAGTTTTAATTAAAAAGTAACCAATCACACCCCTCCTCCAGAGTTTACAGTAGTAGGAGTACACCTAACACGTGACACGGACAGCATTGTGTTCTGTGTACAAGCAGAGAACTGTATCTACAAGCTGCTGCAGCTGGTTGGACCTAAAGATCTTAAGGAGGCTAAATCTTCCCATCAGTTCTCGTTGAGGGCTTCTTTTGCTACACACTCCGACTCTTTTTATGGTATTATTACATAAAATAAAAGTTCTAAACAAGGGATAGTTAAAAACAACGCCCAAGTTTAATCTTTCCCTAAAACACATAACTAAATATCAAAACTTCATTGTAGTTTCTGCCAATATCTCTTGTCATAAGCTCTTGTCAGATCAAAAATATTATTCATAGAAAGATTTCTTTTGCTACAAACTCCGACTCTTTTTATGGTATTTTAGTTTTTAATCAGCTTAACCCGAATACGATTAAATCTTTAAAAATTGATATTTCATGCTAACGACGTTATAAACAATAAAGTTTTCATGAGATGTAATGGTCTAAAATTATTAATTTCAGCGTCCCCGACTTATAATGACAGTGTCACTGATGTAAAGAGATATTTCCCTGATGGACTGTGTTGTGCCAACACTCTTGATATGCAGGCTGAGGGGGTAGGTTCCTTACCATTAATACTAATTATCTATTCTTCATTATCATAAATCAGTGTTAAAGAAGATACCCTTACCCGGCCTGTATAGGCTATAATTCATTTTGCTATTCTATTTTATTTTATTGCGCTGTCTTCACAAATCCAAAGATAACACGGCGCCACCACGACGTCAAGTCAAATTCTCTATAAAACTTCCTCTTTTCACTCAAGAATAATAATTCCCAATGCTTCAGATTCCTCACTCCTACATAGACGAGTTGGTGAATACAGCGAGCGCTAGGAGATACGTATCCAGATCATATCCCTTGAAGCCTCTCCTCCAGACGGTGTGTGTTGTGTTTCCTCCTGATTTACTGAGACCCGCCAAACACATGCGCCTATCACCTGCTAGTCAACTCATCACGTAAGTTCTCCTGTCTTACCTTTCATTATTTTACCTTTCATTATTTATATACAGGGTGGCCCAAAAGTGACTACCCACACGCAACCTTTTAATAACTCACGTAATTCGTCTCCAAATTGCACCAAAATTTCAGAGATTATAGATATGGGTCAAACCTAGATTTCCTGAAAGTTTCGTAAGCCACGCCCAATTACAGTGGGCGTGGCGTGACACTCCCTTTTTTCACTAATGTCTTCATAAAATGAGAAAGCTTTAAGATAAGTACTGAACATTTTTGCACACATTTGGCTTGATAATTTAAAACCTTTTCCAAAGTTTCAAGTTCATTGTTCAAAATTTGGCTGAGTTAAGACTTAGTCTTAAGACCATTTCAAAATACATCGGATACGAGATCCGAGCACTCAGTCAGTGATCTCGTCACTTCATGGTTAAATATGGCCTGTTTGGATCACATGCACCGCTTGATTGGTTGCAGCCTGCTTATGGGCCGGCCTATACAGCTGACAGGACCTAAAACGTTATAACACGAATTAATGGTGGTGTCACCGTTTCAGGGCTTGTTAGCCCTGCTAGTCACAGGTTCGTTCCTTACAATCAATAAAAAGGAATGAACCATCTATGCTGTAAAAAACACTCAGTTCATTTTGTTTATTCATTTCAAAATATTTTGTTACTTTAGCCGTGTAAAATGGTGAAAATTTTACAATTTGGATACTCAATTATTCACCTTAAAAATCATTCCTCACCATTATTCACCATTAAATTTCACCATTAAATTGATGTCTGTCTAGATAAAAAGTAAGTTGGAGTCAGCCCATGTAACAAATATTGTTAGTGCAGTCATTACTTTTCTTACATGGCAATGTTGCAATCTGGGAGGGGCTCTACTGCTCTTATCTCAAACTCAAAGTACGCTACTGTTTTAATTCTATGGCTGGAATGTTGGTATAATTTCCACTTGAGTAGCTCAATCCTTTACGCCCAGGGCTCCGATTTCTGAGTTCTGACACTGCAATTATTAATAGCTTCATACCAACTCACGGCACATATCTTCAGTGATTTTATAATGCAATGGCTTGAGTTACAAAATATTCTGAAGATATTGGGAAATGAAGTTACACGTACATCTGATAAAGATAACACTATACAATATAATTTACAACCTTTTGTTACCGTGTGGGAGCGATTTATGCTGTTAAAAAACACTCAGTTCGATAAAAGAATTATCAGCTTGATAATTTAAAACTTTTCCCAAAGTTTCAAGTTCATTGTTTAAAATTTCGCTGAGTTATGACCATTTCAAAATCCATCGGATACGTGATCCGAGCACTCAGTCAGTGATCTCGTCACTTCATGGTTAAGTATGGCCTGTTTGGCTCACATGCCCACTGTAATTGGGCGTGGCTTACGAAACTTTCAGGAAATCTAAGTTTGATCCATATCTATAATCTCTGAAATTTTGGTGCAATTTGGAGACGAATTACGTGAGTTATTAAAAGGTTGCGTGTGGGTAGTCACTTTTGGGCCACCCTGTATTATTCAATAATATTATATTATTCAAATATACAATATTTCATTATTTTCATCAGCAATATCGTGCATTAAACTATTAAAATCTTGTTTTATTGATATTTCTGATTGGGACAACGTACTGTTAGATTAGATGATACTCAATAATGACACTAGTTAATTGTTTTGAGAGTGAGCTAATTAATTAATTAATTGTGTAATTACACAGGATGATACAGAGTTGTCAGTTTGAGATAGTGAATGTGCGGCTGTTGACAATACCCACACTCCAGATACAACCCTTCAGAACTCTCTTTAAAGTGCACTACGAGGTTATTAAGCTATTGATCAAGTGATTGATTAAGTAATTAAGTTATTCATAAATAAATTAAGTAATTAATCAAATAAGTGATTCATCGTTAAAAGAAGATCAACGAAAATGTTCTGTTTGATTTCAAGTGATTGTTTGGAATTTTCTGATTTGTTGGTAAGGCTATCTTCTGATTTTTAGTACAGTTTAAAATAAACCTAGACCGAGTAAGTTATATTACCCTCATGTCTCATCTTATAACCTTTCAGTTGAGTCAGACTTTCGTTAACAGACCCTGTCTTTTATTGGTGCTTCAAAGAGAAAACGCAGCCTCCTGCTTTTCACAAATCTTGCAAGGGTTAGTTTTACTTACTTGTACTTGATTAGGTCTCCTCAATCATTCGAGTGGCCTGCACCAATGAACTCCCGTTTGTGACGTATCATCTCCCTCCAAAGTTTTCGGTCACTAGCCATCTTGCTCGCTCCTTCTAGGTCTATGTCAGTGTTTCCTGTAAACGATGCAGCATCTTCCAGCAAACATTTCCTCCAGTTCTTTCTTGGACGGCCCCTAGATCTTCTCCCATGGGCAGGGGTCCAGTTAAGCAGGTACTTAGGAAGCCTAGTGTCTGGCATTCTGGTGACATGGCCAAACCAACGCAGGCGGTTTGCTCCTATGTACGTCTCTACTGGATTTATCTTTGCACGCTCCAGCACTTCAGTGTTTCTAACCCGATCGAGCCATCTTATCCTAAGTATTCTCCTCAAGCAACGCTGATGGAACACCTCAAAGCGATGTAGCTGCTTTTTGGTTGTGTTCCAAACCTCACTACCATATAACAATATTGTCAAAACCGCTGCCTTATAAATCCTGATCTTTGTATAAGACTGGATGTTGCGGTTTTTCCATATATTACTCAGTTGATTGAAGGCTCCGGAAGCTTTCTGAATCCTAGCTGACAGCTCACGGTCGATAGTACCGTCGCTGGAAATAATTGTACCTAAGTACGTAAAGTCACTAACTTGCTGCACTGGCGTGTCTTCAACAGTGATGTTCACTGTGGCTTCTTTCGTGTATGGCCGTTGAGAGGTTGCTTTACCAATGACCATAGCCTCAGTCTTTTTACCATTGATTCTAAGACCTCCCTGGGCACCATACATACACAAAAGGTCAGTTGTTTCTTGAAGACCTTCCTCGCTGTTATCCAGTACAGCCATGTCATCTGCATAATCTGTATCTAACACAGTGATATCATCAACGAGCGGACTGATAGATCTTTGAAGAACCGCTCCGTGGGACACCACTTTGTTGCTTTCTGTTCTCTCAGCAGCCACATTGAGGCAGACATTAAAAAGTGGGGGACCCTGAATGTCTCCTTGGCCACTGCCTGAACTTACTTCAAACCATTCTGATAGTTCACCATTGTGTCTAACAGCACTAACAGTTCCATTAAAGAATGCCTGTATTATTCGAATATATTTACATGGCAGGCCATAATGACTGAAAGCTTTCCAAATATAATTCCTGTCGATGGAATCAAAAGCTGCCTTGAAGTCCACAAAATTTACATACAGGGGGAGATTATATTCAATGCAGTTATGTATAATAGTGCGGAGTGAATAAATCTGATCAATGCATGATCTGTTCTTTCTAAACCCACACTGATTGTCTCGTAGCAGACTTTCTAAACCGTCACTCATGCGTTGTAATATGATGATTTGATACAGTTTAGATGCTGTAGATCTTAGAGTGATCCCCCTATTATTGGAGCAATGAGAGGTATCACCCTTCTTTGGTACAATTATCACGATGCCTTTCAACCAGTCGTCAGGCACTGCTTCTGAATTCCAAACTTTAGAGAACAATTTCTCCATCCTATCCACAAGACCACTTGCCCCATACTTTAACTGCTCATTAGAGATTTCGTCAATCCCAGAACTTTTGTGATTCTTTAATTTTTTGAGACAGTTTAAAATCTCAAGTCTTGTGGGGGGACCATCACCATCACCAAGATAAGGAAAGCATGGAACCACTTCAAGATGGTCCAGGTCAGACATATCCGCATTCGTGGGAGGAGGGTTTAATAGCTCCGAAAAATGTTCTCCCCATCTCTCTCTCTGAGCAGAGGGATCAGCAATCAACTTCCCGGATTTGTCTCTTACAGCAGTTGATTTTCGATTCTTCTTACCGGACAGTGTTTTTATCCGTTGCCAGACTTCCCTTTGACGGCCATGGACAGCAGCTGTTTCCAGATCTGCTGCAACTCTAAGAGCCCAATTCTCGTCGTCTTTCCTGCAGCTCTTTTTGACAAGTTTGTTGGCCCGAGAATACTCGCTCCTATTGTTGTTGTCATTAGGCGCCATTTGTTTAATCTTACTGCGTTCTGCAATAAGGGTTTTTGTCTCCTGAGACAAATGCTGCTGCTTTCTGCGCCGGGGGCGCTCACCCAGTACCTCCATAGACACTTCTTTAATAGTATCCTTAACTAATGTCCATTCTCCATCAAGATTCTCCTCCATTGGTAGGCAGCTAAAACGATTTTGAAGAGCAATGCAGTACTCTTCAACCTTGGACTGATCTCTAAGATTCTCAATCGCTGGAGATATCCTACGAGAGGCGTTCATTTTTTGAACTGCCATAAGTTTGACTCTAAATTGACCCCGAACCAAATAATGATCGGAGCCAATGTCTGCACCCCTGCATGATCTTACGTCAAGTAGAGAGTGACTCCACTTGGTAGAAATACAGACATGGTCAATCTGATTTACTGTGCGGCCATCTGGAGACTTCCAACTTCCTTTATGAATATCACGATGCTGGAAAAGCGTCCCACCGATTGTCAACTGATGTAATGCACAGAAATCTAATAGTCGAAGGCCGTTGTCATTTGATGAAACGTGAAGGGAATGCTTACCAATCACACCGGACCAAGCTGAGTTATCTTGGCCAATGCGAGCATTTAGATCTCCAAGTAAAAACTTCACGTCATGAGCTGGTAGTTCATCAAATGCCCCAGATAGCTGCTGATAAAAGTCATCCTTTACCCCGACTGCTGCATCCTCAGTTGGAGCATAAGCTATCACAATCGAAATGTTGATATGTCGACTGTGCAGCCTCGCTGCAAGAATACGTTCTGATATCGGACTGTATGAAATCAATGAATTTTTAGTCTTCTTCGAGAGGACTAAACCTACCCCTTGTCGTCTGTACCCATCACTTCTTCCTGAGTTAATAAAGAGGGACCCATCATCCAAGGTAACCTCACCAGTGCCGGGTCTGTGCGTCTCTGTCAGCCCCAAGACATCCATTTTATATGCTGACATATTCTGTGACAATTCATACAGCTTTGAGGAACTGCTCTCCAATGATAACACATTCCACGTTCCCACATTAATGCTGTGTTTGATAAAGTTGCACGGGAGTGCTCTCCCCTTCTCCGGGTCCACATGAGTGATATGCTGTGAACTAATAACACTGTTGAAATAAGGCGACTTCTTTGTTCTCATCTGCACACTGGGGTCCTTGCGGCTTTGCCCAGAGCACTTCATCCTGGCTACACCCCTCCTTGAACTCCGAGAGTCACTACACTTTTGGTTATTCATTGATGTTTCAGTAGCTATTTTAAGGTTGAAGGGTAGCTGGCCCCTCGAACCTGGTAGTTTTTTGTCGACCTTTACTGGTCTAGATCCATAGTTTTTTGTTGCACCTCATCTGTTTAAACTGGAATCACCCAGAACAGATTACTGTACTTAATAGTGGCACCTCGTAAAGGGTGTACTATGGTCATTGAAATAGGAGAGGTTATAAGTTACACGATCACTATTTCCTGAGATTATAAAAATCTCTTGCCACCAAGTTTTAGAAATTATTAATAATTTCCATTTCCCTCGTTAAAATTGGCTTATTCTGATTTCTCATTCTTTGTTGGATCAACATTAAAACGGTTTCTTACTTGAAACCAGAATATGCTAACCAGGAATTCTATTCAGATATTCGAACACCAACAACAGGAAACTTTTAGACTCTTACGATCACATGATGCTGACGTCAACCAATAAACAAACGGTAAGTTTCTTATGATGTTGGTTCTTGCCATCAGTCTGAGTTAATTATCACGGATCGGGACATTCAATTTAATGTTTCTGGGGCAAAATTTGTAGCGTTTCCATTATCCTCGTAATCGAGCACTGTCGCAATAAATGGAAAAACTATAAATTTTGCCCCAAAATAATTGCGTGGAATTTCATGGTTTTTGGACATATTTGAAGAAGCAAGTTGAGCGAAGATCTGGATCAACAAAACTTTGGTCTTTACCGCTGTAAAGCCAAAGTTTCGGTCTCATCCGCAAAAAAAACTTGTTAAGTTTCGGTCTCATCCGCAAATATTTGTAAACGTAGCGCGCTTGATTTTGTTGAATAAGAAAGCACTTTGTTTTTGCATTCAGTGTAACATGGAAATTTTGGTTCATAACATTATATCGATCGGTTTGCGCGCGAAATCGAATTATTTATTCTGGAATCTCAGAATTAAGATCAAAAGTTGCTCTTGAAAATCTATTTCCTTTCCAATTCTAGTATATATATCTGATAATTTAGCTTACTAGCTTATAATCAATAATGCTCAATCTATTTTCAGTGCGAAAATCAAATCAAGTTCTTCTTCGACTTTTTACCTGACCGCTGTAAAGACCAAATGGAGATACAGTGATGAAGAACTTCAAGAATGTTGTTCGATGAACAATATAGCGGCAACTTATTGATAGCTGACGAGCTTTGAATATTTGCCAATCAGTGCGTTTGAATACTGGTGGGGATTTGAATTATATTTTCTTGGACACATTTCATGACCACGATTTAACTTTCACCCAAGACCACTGATTTGTGTCAAAACAATTAATATAGTTTGACTAGTTACCAATATTTAGATGTATGATCGACTGAGCGCTCTTTCCTTGATATTATGGAGAATCATTCGCCTTAAATTTCTTAGTGTTTCAGGGGCCTCAGTTCCAAATGAACAAAAATGGTGTTAGTTGGCCCCGAAACCTGATCGTATATATTTAAATTTTTGGAGCATTGTTTAAGCTCATCGATCCTGAGACCTCGCAAGTGACCTACACTCGTAATTCGTATATTCCTAGTTTTCTACATTTTATAGCTGTCTACGTGTATAGATTGTAGTATTATATTTAGCTCAGTGCCAGTTTGTAACTTATATAAATTTGTACAGATGTTTGTAGAAACTTTTATATATGAAAATGTCGTTAACTATTTATTTTCAATTTATAAAGACAATAGATTTGCTTTTCAAGAAACTCACAGGAGACTTCTTTCCTATATGGCTGATCATGATCAGAGAAATAATACTATCGATTGATGGTTCCTTTAAGTACAAATCTACAGAATATGTAATTTGAGCAGAAATATAGTATGGGGGTATTCTACCTAATATGGGGAAATAAATTGAAGACTCATCCAATATTTATTTAAATTAACAGTTTGGATTTTCTAAAACCACAGATGCTCACAAACACTCATACATCAAATGCGAGCATTACCTATATTACAATATGGATGGAGGTTCGTTAATTAAAGAAACTATAACACTGACTTACAACTAACAGCATATGTTTAGATAATTATCTAGTAAGAATCTAGCTAAGGCGACCAGTGAATACTGAATAACAGTCTGTTTTCAATAGAACATTGTAAAACCAGCTCACGTTGAACGGCTTGGAGAAAATAAGCACACTTTCACAAATAAAACGAGCAATTCTGTCTACTTTTAGATCACACCAACAAAAATTAAAAAGTTACTGAACCCGAATCTGGTTTTAAAAAAGGATTGAGACTCTGCCAAGAATTAAAATCTAAAACAGGGCACGGACATACATATGTTAGAATTATATGGGAAAAAATTTGAAAAGTTCGACTAGTCTCCACTATCTGATCCATCAGACGGTCTTTTAAAAACCGTATAGCCATTTATTTGTGTTTTTTTCAAAATCAGTGGTTTTTGTTAGACAACCATTGAGAAGGAGACACGCCGAAATTTTACAACTTTGCCTTTCATGTACATTGACTCGCAAAATATAATAAACACAAAAGTTTACATTTTCATAAAGTAACCCTTTGGCAACAGTCTCGCATATCAAAAATGTGGACAAAAGTGGAAATTATCGTCTTTACTGCTGCCGTTAGGGCGATTTTACTTCCTCTTGAACAATACATGCTGTACAATCTCTTCCTACATACTAATACATAGTAACAAAAATAAAAATAACAACGAAATATTTTATAATTATCATTCAACACACTGAGCAGTCTGAAAAGCTAAAATCTGAACTCTGAACAAAAGACATGTTGTGTTCCTAACATGCTCTGATAATTTATTAATTTAATAACTAAAGCATCTAATTGTTCATCAACCAAAGAAAAACTATAACTTTGCACAAATTGGGAAAAGAAAACTTATTCTACCAGCTAATAATGATACATAACGAATTTGTTAATTATCATCCGGGTCGGGGAGTGTCATCACGAATTTTCTTCATTCACGGTTGACAATAGGGCAGAGCGTGGATCGCTCCTGAATACGTCTTGAAGAATTGAACAACTGCAGAAGAAAAGCAGCGGTGAACGTCTGTCTAAATACCAGACTCGGTCGTGTCTTCCTTGTATTGTACGCTCTCGACTTCCAGAATCTTCGGTACTGAAATAAACAAAGATTAGTGTTTAGTGTAATTATGACTTGCATTTTGCAAGTGGTCTGTACTTAACGAATCGGATCATTGCATGACCATTGACGGTCATGCACGTGTAAGGTAGCTCAATGTACGAGTGTACTGATGTGCACGTGTGCGCGGCTCCGACTGGCACTTGTGGTAATAAATAACCATGAGCTGATATAATGATTTCCCGCCAAATATGAAACAGCTAGTACTGTGTCTTCTAGAATGTTCGCTGGGATGTTATGAAAGCTTAAGACAGATATTTACTAATCCACAGTTCAAATCTTTGACGATGAAATTGTATGTAAACGCATGTTATAGGTATTATAATAGTTGAAATTTATAGATGTTTAGCTACCGAGCTGGTTGCGTGATGTTGAGAAGTTTGTTGATTTCTGCATTTTCGAAACGTTCTTTTTTCGAAAAGGAACGCAAAGCCGTTTCCTGTCAGTCCGACTAACATTATCAAACTGAATAGTTTTCCCTGATGAAGATGATAGCAGTTACATCGTCAAAACAATGTATTGAGTTACAGAAAATGAATAGCAGCCGGTTTACACTTTACAGAATTGCACATGATATATTATATATACATGACACAGGGGCTCCGTCACCAAGCTAGACGATCGAGCAGACGAAACAGCTGACAGAGAAAATACAAGAAGTGATTCCGAGCGGGTGTAAGAAGGGTGTAAAGTATAGGTAGCTCAATGTACGAGTGTGCACGTGTGCGCGGCTCCGACTGGCACTTGTGGTAATAAATAACCATGAGCTGATATAATGATTTCCCACCAAATATGAAACAGCTAGTACTGTGTCTTCTAGAATGTTCGCTTGGATGTTATGACAGCTTAAGACAGATATTTACTAATCCACAGTTCAAATCTTTGACGATGAAATTGTAAATGTATAGGTATTATAATAGTTGAAATTTATAGATGTTTAGCTACCGAGCTGGTTGCGTGATGTTGAGAAATTTGTTGATTTCTGCATTTTCGAAACGTTCTTTTTTCGAAAAGGAACGCAAAGCCGTTTCCTGTCAGTCCGACTAACAAACTGAAGGGTGTTCCCACAATCCGGTCCGAGGTCCGGTTAACTTAAGCAGCTGTGAGCTGTTTAAGTGAAAGCGAGTGGCAGATAGATGTAAAACTCTGCAGCTGCAGAACGAGAAGTGTCCTGCCTACTTATTCCTCAAACTAGCTCTTTCCTAGTTTACACCGGAGACGCCATATAGAGAATTTCCTTGGATAGCTGTCACGTGACAGTCACGAGATATCGATTGAGCGCGTTTACTGGTTGAATATATAGCGCGTGATATTGAGCTATTATGCAGAGCCATTACGGACCATATAAGGCGTAATTAAGAGCTGCAGCTAGCTCGGTCTCTATCACTTTCACTAGCTGCATCTAGCACGTGATATTTGCACAGCTAATTACACGCCTTATACGGTATAATCAACAGGTAGAGCTAGTTCTCGGTGTGTCGCTGGGTAGCCGTGCGTGCGTGCAAGGTAAATATTTTGTAAACAATGTTAGTATAAAGATAACTTTTGCTTGGATATAAACATGCAAGTGTGAGGTAGCATAGTTGGCAGTGCACTGGTTTGTTGCTCAGATGGGTGAGAGCAAGGGTTTGTCTGAACCATCCTCGAAATCGTTGTTACCTAGCTAGTAACTTGGTGATTGAACAGAGAGTGGAAAACCAGACGAAAGTAAAGATGAAGTCTCGGGGACCGGGGAAGCGGCTGATGATGGGCAAGAATAATTAAAGCGCCCTAGGCCGCTCCCCAAACCAGACCAATAACACATTTTCTGAAAATTTCTAATTTTCGAGGTAAAACTCAAAATAAAAACGACAAAATAGGCATATTTGTATGTTGTAGTAATATCATCAAATTTCTTAGATCTAGATTTCTAATTTCCTTTACGCTTTAGAACTGGAAGAACTGGTGAACCTGGTGGAGAGTGAAAGAGGTAGTTTATATGGCAGGACATGACAGGTACGGGTGCATGTTTATTGATATTCTCCCTGTTGATTTTTTATATTCACGATGTCAATCTTTCGCAGCTCGGCGCGGCGTGGCCCAGTGGTGAATTTCGTTACTGGGCCGTGCTCAGCCTGTCATTTTACCTGGGGACCCCAGGCTATTATGTTCATAAACATAATAAAGATTTGGCGAAATGACAGGCTGAGCACCGCCCAGTAACCTGTCATTCCGCCTAATATCTATTCGTATGATTATGAACAGAAATAATATATAACAGCATGCTGCATGAGGACCCGGCAGGTTCTGGTTAGCATCTTGCCGATCTTACGCCGAAATTGTGGATTGCAAAAAACATTATTTGCGCGGCCGATTAGTTCTGACGTTAGCTATAGAGGTTCTTTCACAACTTAATACCTATTTTTTGTGGTATTATTATTGATTATATGGACGTATTAAATATGAAAATAAATTTGTTGAAACCCTAAAATTTTTTTGAAATATCTAAATCGATTTTTCGAAAATACTTGTGTATGCGTGTCTGATAATTTCATTAAATAAAAAACAATCCATATTCCCCTTCCACGTGTTTAGATAAGTTAGAAACTACTTTTTAACATAAACAAGCTATTTTGACCTCTGACGTGCAGTCTTTTATTTATATTGTTTTGTTTTGAACAAGTAAAATAGATCCGATTAATCCGTTTGTCGTTTTAGAACTTGAACCGTAGAAATCAATTTACAATTTTAATTTGACCATTTATTGAACTTCATTAAACAGGATAGTAGATCGAAGCTGTTACGGGGATTGTCTGCTCGATACACCAGAGTCATCAGACATGTCTTAAAAGACGTATTTTTGGCCCCTGAATCGATTGGGGATAGTGGGAAGTGTTAAAAATGGGGTTAACCCGGTTTTATTTTGAAAAAACCGATTTTTTGCCCCAAAAATGGCCATTTTTTGAGGTTTTTTAGAAATTTCGACAGGTTAATTCAATAGAAAAGCTTGCATATTTTGGTTTCTTGTACATTTTCATTTGCCGCACTAGCTAATATCAATATAATAAGCACGCACAAGAGTTAACCCGGTCAAAATAAAAAACCTCCAAAAAAATGTTTTTTTGCGCGCTAAATTTTTTCGGCTCTTTATACATCCACAATGAAATATTTTTGCCCACAAAGTGTTTTAATACTGTTCAATAATACTATTGATAGTTTTTCAGCGTCAAAACAAGTTTTGAAAGCGGAAGAAAAAATTATATTTTTCGTGGTGCTGAGCACTTTGAAAATTGTTGAATAAAATCGAGCGCTACCGTAAAATTTTAGTAACCCTTCCCTGAAACTCATTTAAGTTTTTGTACCGTTAGTGTTTTGTCCTTTTCTGAAGTTCATGCCTTCTCTGGCTTAATTTCATTTAATATTGTTTAATACAGTACAGTAAAGTGTTTTATAATAGTAGAGTGCCATTTCTAATACTTCAATGTTACATTGTTGAGATACCTTTACTTGGCTGATTACTTTTTGTTAATACAATTTCTCCAATTTAGTATTGCATTGCTTATATGTTCAATGAGACAGCTTCGTAATATTTTATACGTAAAAATGAAACTGCATTACTTATTACATAAATTATGTATCATCGTATTAGTGTTCCATTAATTGTACAATTTGTCATGTTTTTTTTTTCAATGTGATCTTCGATTTTAGAATCTTTACGGTGTCTTTTCTTATAATTTGCTATCATTTTTTAGCTTTTGAAAATTGAAAATGTTTCAATATTACCAATAATTCAATATTACCAATAATTTTAACTTTTAAAAATTGAAAATGTTTCAATATTACCAATAATTACAGAACATTTCATTATTTTAACATCGTTCATAAGTTTTTGATAACTAATTGTTTTGTATCGATAAATTATGTAAATGTGTTGCTTTTATCCTAGAATGGTGTTTAGATCAAGTTAAATTAATTAAAATGTAATTAAAATGTTAATTAGATTAAAATTTTGTGTGATAATGTTGAAGAAAAATTTGATTTACTTTCATTGAAAATTATTTTGAAATCTTTCTAAGGTGACAAAATTTGCCTTTTATTTCGATTTCCGACATATTTTAACATATTTCAGCATATTCAACACATTTAACATAAACTTCAGGACACATTTTAACATATTTCAGCATATTCAACACATTTTACATAAACCTCAGGACGTGATAACAGAGAAATGTGACTTAGAACAGATAGTGTTCGTAGCTCTTATCGGTAAAGATGTGGCCGCTACAGCTGGGCGCGAGATACACGCTTTCGTTCATTTCTGTGGTATGTTTCGTGAATTTTATAGTCTTTTCGTGATGTTGTTCATGTCTACAAAAAACTCTTAGTATTTTCAATTAGTATATTTATTAATCAGAAATGTTCATCAGAAACATCACAACAATGCGACCCATAAATAATGTTCCTATCCTTATATTACACATATATATAATTATATTCAACTAACAGAGCAACTTAACTTTTCACAGACACGTTGGGAATAGAGGTACCAGAGAATGAGACAGGTCAGCTGGAACTGTTGGGAGTTAAACTCATCAGTAAACTTAACTCCTTCCAAGCTAGAGAAGTTACTCAGTACGAAGTGGGTGATCCACATTGGAAGAGTGACATTCAGTTCCTTCAGACAGGTACTTTGGGTGACGTCACCAAGTTTTTACCGCAGTATTTCTATTTCTTGCATATATAACTATTTAATACCTTTAACTCTTTGTGTCTTTGTTGATGATTAGGGACTGTCAATAAATAAATCATGTTTTCAAATATCAATTTATTACTGAACGATAAAAATCACATCAACCGAAACATTTTCCTTATCTTTTCAGTGCCCATAATCTCTCTGCTGTTCCGAGGAATCAACGCTTTCCAAATTATCAAACAGCTCCTCTCCCGCTCCACCACGTGCACTACTCCCAGCATCAGATCACGTGACGATACGCCTGCACGTGGGCGTGGATCACGTGACCATTGCAGCAGTATCATGTCAGAGACACCAGAACATGCGTACAAGCTAGCCAGTCTGCTGTTCTTTGAGAAGGAACTGTACAGTGACGAGATCATGAGGCCTAAACAATTACATCTACCCCCACCCAGGACTCATGTTAATAGTATCATCAGCAAGGAGGGTGGGTACTTTCTGATCAACCACTAATTATATCAAAAATCATGCTATATTTTGTTGCCGGATAATTGTTCATTATGTCAAATAAAGTTTAGCTATTTGCGCCCTAAAGCGAACCCTACCACCAATACTCTGAAACCAACTTTATTATTTCTCATTACCCAGCTCTTACCCCTCTAACTCCTCTAACCCCCTTTAACCCATATAACCCCACAAACCCCTCTAACCCATCTAACCCCTCTGACCCCTCCACAGGAAGACACCACTTATCAGACCTACCTGACAGACTAGTCTACCAATCAGAGGGGATACTGAAGAGTATGTTAGCTCCTCCCAGGCTACTCGCCTCTATCTTAGTGACGTCACAAGTTAATCATTTTGGCAAGATACTCAAGAGGTTGGAACAAGAAGGTTAGAGGTGTAGACTGTCATTTGTGGTTCAACTCTTGAAGGATTAGATAATATATATTATTGTTAGCGAAGAAATTGTGTCTACTTTAGCTTTATTACTATGTTTTGATTTGTCGAAATTATTTCAAATGAGCACATTCTAGTGTTGGTGTAGGTAAGTAAAGTTTTAATTAAAAAGTAACCAATCACAACCCTCCTCCAGAGTTTACAGTAGTAGGAGTACACCTAACACGTGACACGGACAGCATTGTGTTCTGTGTACAAGCAGAGAACTGTATCTACAAGCTGCTACAGCTGGTTGGACCTAGAGATCTTAAGGAGGCTAAATCTTCCCATCAGTTCTCGTTGAGGGCTTCTTTTGCTACACACTCCGACTCTTTTTATGGTATTTTAGTTTTTAATCAGCTTAACCCGAATACGATTAAATCTTTAAAAATTGATATTTCATGCTAACGACGTTATAAACAATAAAGTTTTCATGAGATGTAATGGTCTAAAATTATCAATTTCAGCGTCCCCGACTTATAATGACAGTGTCACTGATGTAAAGAGATATTTCCCTGATGGACTGTGTTGTGCCAACACTCTTGATATGCAGGCTGAGGGGGTAGGTTCCTTACCATTAATACTAATTATCTATTCTTCATTATCATAAATCTTTCATCAAGATACCCTTACCCTATCTAGGCTATAATTCATTTTGGTATTCTATTTTATTTTGTTGCGCTGTCTTCACAAATCCAAAGATAACACGGCGCCACCACGACATCAAGTCAAATTCCCTATAAAACTCCCTCTTTTCACTCAAGAATAATAATTCCCAATACCTCAGATTCCTCACTCCTACATAGACGAGTTGGTGAATACAGCGAGCGCTAGGAGATACGTATCCAGATCATATCCCTTGAAGCCTCTCCTCCAGACGGTGTGTGTTGTGTTTCCTCCTGATTTACTGAGACCCGCCAAACACATGCGCCTATCACCTGCTAGTCAACTCATCACGTAAGTTCTCCTGTCTTACCTTTCATTATTTTACCTTTCATTATTCAATAATATATATTATTCAAATATATACAATATTTCATTATTTTCATCAGCAATATCGTGCATTAAAATCTTGTTTCATTTCTGATTGGGACAACGCACTGTTAGATTAGATGATACTCAATAATGACAGTAGTTAATTATTTTGAGAGTGAGCTAATTAGTTAATTAATTATGTAATTACACAGGATGATACAGAGTTGTCAGTTTGAGATAGTGAATGTGCGGCTGTTAACAATACCCACACTCCAGATACAACCCTTCAGAACTCTCTTTAAAGTACACTACGAGGTAATTAAGTAATTGATCAAGTGATTGATTAAGTAATTAAGTTATTCATAAATAAATTAAGTAATTAATCAAATAAGTGATTCATCGTTAAAAGAAGATCAACGAAAATGTTCTGTTTGATTTCAAGTGATTGTTTGGAATTTTCTGATTTGTTGGTAAGGCTATCTTGTGATTTTTAGTACAGTTTGAAATAAACCTACACCGAGTAAGTTATATTACCCTCATGTCTCATCTTATAACCTTTCAGTTGAGTCAGACTTTCGTTAACAGACCCTGTCTTTTATTGGTGCTTCAAAGAGAAAACGCAGCCTCCTGCTTTTCACAAATCTTGCAAGGGTTAGTTTTAGAAATTATTAATAATTTCAATTTCTCTCGTTAAAATTGGCTTATTCTGATTTCTCATTCTTTGTTGGATCAACGTTAAAACGGTTTCTTACTTGAAACCAGAATATGCTAACCAGGAATTCTATTCAGATATTCGAACACCAACAACAGGAAACTTTTAGACTCGTACGATCACATGATGCTGACGTCAACCAATAAACAAACGGTAAGTTTCTTATGATGTTGGTTCTTGCCATCAGTCTGAGTTAATTATCACGGATCGGGACATTCAATTTAATGTTTCTGGGGCAAAATTTGTAGCGTTTCCATTATCCTCGTATTAGAGCATTTTCGCAATAAATGGAAAAACTATAAATTTTGCCCCAAAATAATTGCGTGGAATTTCATGGTTTTTGGACATATTTGAAGAAGCAAGTTGAGCGAAGATCTGGATCAACAAAATATAAACTTGTTAAGTTTCGGTCTCATCCGCAAATATTTGTAAACGTAGCGCGCTTAATTTTGTTGAATAAGAAAGCACTTTGTTTTTGCATTCAGTGTAACATGGAAATTTTGGTTCATAACATTATATCGATCGGTTTGCGCGCGAAATCGAATTATTTATTCTGGAATCTCAGAATTAAGATCAAAAGTTGCTCTTGAAAATCTATTTCCTTTCCAATTCTAGTATATATATCTGATAATTTAGCTTACTAGCTTATAATCAATAATGCTCAATCTATTTTCAGTGCGAAAATCAAATCAAGTTCTTCTTCGACTTTTTACCTGACCGCTGTAAAGACCAAATGGAGATACAGTGATGAAGAACTTCAAGAATGTTGTTCGATGAACAATATAGCGGCAACTTATTGATAGCTGACGAGCTTTGAATATTTGCCAATCAGTGCGTTTGAATACTGGTGGGGATTTGAATTATATTTTCTTGGACACATTTCATGACCACGATTTAACTTTCACCCAAGACCACTGATTTGTGTCAAAACAATTAATATAGTTTGACTAGTTACCAATATTTAGATGTATGATCGACTGAGCGCTCTTTCCTTGATATTATGGAGAATCATTCGCCTTAAATTTCTTAGTGTTTCAGGGGCCTCAGTTCCAAATGAACAAAAATGGTGTTAGTTGGCCCCGAAACCTGATCGTATATATTTAAATTTTTGGAGCATTGTTTAAGCTCATCGATCCTGAGACCTCGCAAGTGACCTACACTCGTAATTCGTATATTCCTAGTTTTCTACATTTTATAGCTGTCTACGTGTATAGATTGTAGTATTATATTTAGCTCAGTGCCAGTTTGTAACTTATATAAATTTGTACAGATGTTTGTAGAAACTTTTATATATGAAAATGTCGTTAACTATTTATTTTCAATTTATAAAGACAATAGATTTGCTTTTCAAGAAACTCACAGGAGACTTCTTTCCTATATGGCTGATCATGATCAGAGAAATAATACTATCGATTGATGGTTCCTTTAAGTACAAATCTACAGAATATGTAATTTGAGCAGAAATATAGTATGGGGGTATTCTACCTAATATGGGGAAATAAATTGAAGACTCATCCAATATTTATTTAAATTAACAGTTTGGATTTTCTAAAACCACAGATGCTCACAAACACTCATACATCAAATGCGAGCATTACCTATATTACAATATGGATGGAGGTTCGTTAATTAAAGAAACTATAACACTGACTTACAACTAACAGCATATGTTTAGATAATTATCTAGTAAGAATCTAGCTAAGGCGACCAGTGAATACTGAATAACAGTCTGTTTTCAATAGAACATTGTAAAACCAGCTCACGTTGAACGGCTTGGAGAAAATAAGCACACTTTCACAAATAAAACGAGCAATTCTGTCTACTTTTAGATCACACCAACAAAAATTAAAAAGTTACTGAACCCGAATCTGGTTTTAAAAAAGGATTGAGACTCTGCCAAGAATTAAAATCTAAAACAGGGCACGGACATACATATGTTAGAATTATATGGGAAAAAATTTGAAAAGTTCGACTAGTCTCCACTATCTGATCCATCAGACGGTCTTTTAAAAACCGTATAGCCATTTATTTGTGTTTTTTTCAAGATCAGTGGTTTTTGTAAGACAACCATTGAGAAGGAGACACGCCGAAATTTTACAACTTTGCCTTTCATGTACATTGACTCGCAAAATATAATAAACACAAAAGTTTACATTTTCATAAAGTAACCCTTTGGCAACAGTCTCGCATATCAAAAATGTGGACAAAAGTGGAAATTATCGTCTTTACTGCTGCCGTCAGGGCGATTTTACTTCCTCTTGAACAATACATGCTGTACAATCTCTTCCTACATACTAATACATAGTAACAAAAATAAAAATAACAACGAAATATTTTATAATTATCATTCAACACACTGAGCAGTCTGAAAAGCTAAAATCTGAACTCTGAACAAAAGACATGTTGTGGTTCTAACATGCTCTGATAATTTATTAATTTAATAACTAAAGCATCTTATTGTTCATCAACCAAAGAAAAACTATAACTTTGCACAAATTGGGAAAAGTAAACTTATTCTACCAGCTAATAATGATACATAACGAATTTGTTAATTATCATCCGGGTCGGGGAGTCATCACGAATTTTCTTCATTCACGGTTGACAATAGGGCAGAGCGTGGATCGCTCCTGAATACGTCTTGAAGAATTGAACAACTGCAGAAGAAAAGCAGCGGTGAACGTCTGTCTAAATACCAGACTCGGTCGTGTCTTCCTTGTACGCTCTCGACTTCCAGAATCTTCCGTACTGAAATAAACAAAGATTAGTGTTTAGTGTAATTATGACTTGCATTTTGCAAGTGGTCTGTACTTAACGAATCGGATCATTGCATGACCATTGACGGTCATGCACTGCACGCTGAACAATCTGCATGCACTGATCTGAGAAGCGCGGCGCGCGCTTATCTCGCACGCCGCGCGCGATATATTTGTACGCGCGCGCACGTTGTGCTGACAAAGCACTTAATAGAATATTAAGCGCGGATTCCTGACGTCCAGAAAGAATGCATTCTTTTAAAGGAAAACCTGGATCATACAAACATCTAAACTGTTCAAATAACCAAACAATGTGGTATACATTACATACATTAGCATGTGTTTATATTCCCCACTACCCATAGGCCACAAAATATTCAACAGCCATTTGACACCAAGCGCCAGCACCTTCAACTGTCCCCAGCAGCTAATGTGGCTCAAATATTTCTTATTACAGGGTTCAATAGATAATTAATTTAGATCAGTGCTTCTAGCTGCGTTTACCAATACAATGGACATGTAATGGACATGTAATGACCAAAGTCCAAAACAGAATGTTCAACTTTTAAAGGGGGGGGGGGGGGGGGGGGGGGGCCAATGGGTATTTTTTTAGTTTTTTGTGAAACTTGATTTCGAGATAGTTGAGAGATAGTTGACCAACAAACTAGGACCAGTGACCGAACTTTTGAGGGGGTCATATCCCGGACCCCAACCGCCAAACGGTACGCGCAGGGCAGCCACGCCCATATTCGGTCCAAATTAGGCCCAATTTACCTAGCCAAAAACCCTGAACATGCCCAAAACCCAGGTTTATGGTGCTCTACTTGTAGCTAGTGGTCTCCTGAACTTGTATATGAAATTTCATCAAGATTGGACAACAAAATGACTGAGTTATGAGCCAAAAACCATATGCCCATATTTGGTCATACGCACCAAATTTGGTAGATTTCGTCCCATAAATTGGTCAAATATCAATATTTTTGAATGAGACTTACTTTTTATGAAAAGTAAGCCTAAACTACATATTCTCTGTAAGTTATAGCTTTATATCTGTTTAAATGTGGATACTAAGGCGAAAAAACCACAAAAAATGAACTAAATTGCCCGTATCTTGGTTCGCAAAGTTTCACAACCCCCAATACAAACTCGATTAATCAAAGGATCACGTACCATCTTGTTCCTGTCCAGGTTTTACATTTTTTAAAGCATGGATACATTTTCAGGCTATTTCCCCCACTGTTAACTTAACACTACAGGATGACTCAACGAGAATTTTGAGATTATAAAAATGATAAATCTTTTTATGAAGGAGCAAATTTTTAAAGATGAACAATTGCTAACATACCTTGATATTGCTAAAAAACATACCTAAAATTGCTAACATACCTTGATATTGCTAAAAAACATACCTAAAATTGCTAACATACCTTGATAAGCCACAGTCCACTGGGGGTTGTTGGGTTCCTGTAAGCGTACACTGACCACCCCACAAATATCATAACAATAAGGAGGATCAGAGTTACAATGAATCCTATCAGGGCTCTAACTGCTGTGTTCGAACCTGCGGTCACGTGGTTTTCAGAAAATATAGAAAATTTGAGAAAAAACTTTAAAATGTAACTTACTACCTTACTCGGGAATATTATGACTGGGATAAAGTGGTGGATTTTGGAAAATTCCGCCATATTTTTCCCGGTCATTAATTTTCCCCGTCATAAATTAACCCGCTAAAATATTCCCGAGTAAGGTAAATACATATATTGTATATATTAACTTACCGCTACACTTGTAGTAGATATTGAGCGTCTTATCAGCTCCAGGGCACGGGTCCGAACCAAAGAATGTTTGAGTAGCTCTGTAAATATTTCCATTGTTACTCTTGCAACTCTTGTGTGTGGTAATGAACAAGTTTCACCTGCTCAGCAAAGATGTATTTATATATTATTTTGAGCTTTGACCTTGAATTCTTTACATTTTTCGCTCAGGGAGGTGAACAACATGACTTATTTGCCAATTTTTTAGCTGTATCACGAGTAGGAAGATTGCATGTTAACTTGTCGTCTTGGCAAGCTTATTTGATGCATATCTATTATGTAATTATTCACATGATAGTGATCATATGCTCCATTATCTATATATAGTGGTCATGTGATATGGTCACGTGGTGTCATGTGATATGGTCACGTGGTGTATCTACAGATTTGGCTCTGCTCTTAGTCTGACCACCACCACACAAATTATTATCATATCAATACATTGTAAGATAATATGATTAAGCCCAGTTGAAGATAGTGGATTAAGTAATTAAACAATTAAGCAATTAAGGTAATCAAGTTAATTAAGGGATTACTCACTGGACAAAACACTTGGTTTTGTGGTTGCACATCTCTGAGACCTTTTCTTTAACCATGTTGTTATCATACGCACACTTCTTGTTTCCGTTTGGAGATTTGGAGCTTTCACAGAAGGACCTGGTGGGTTTGAGAGACTGATCAGTTAATTAGTCATAATCACTTAATTTCAATCTTACATAATAATATTAAGTTCAGTCGGTTATAATCCAGTGATTGTTCTAGTAAAATTCGTTATTCGCCAGCTCTTGTTGGTTATTAGAGTTTCCCCAGAATTCAATCAAGCCACACACACATCCGCATTCCGCACCAAGATACATTATATATTATTTAGATAACAAACCACAGATTAACATTCAATGATTAGTTCAAACTAGTCCCACTGTGTAAAATCCGGATTGGAGTATTATTTATGAGTCGCATTGTTGTAATGTATTCTGTGTAAAATTATCTTTATCCCGGTTACTGCGACAAGTAAAAATGCTCTTATTAGGGAAAGGAGTTTACTCGACGTTTCAATGTAACTACATCGTATTCATGATCTCAAATTATTTGTTATATAGTAGTGTTGAAAGTATTAAAACATTTATTATTAAAGATAATTTTACACAGAATACAGTCCCACCGTGTTGGGTTGGGTTGGTATGAATGGCGATAACCAATACAGGGTCTTCCACTTCCAACAGACACTGGATGTTCACTGTTCAGTTTCGTGAAAACAACCAATCACAGCTCAACATGACATCACTTCTAACACTTAACAGCTCAACTAAACTTATATCACCTAACTAATTACCTAGTACTAATTACCTACTAATTACTTACTAATTACCTACTAATTACCCAACTATCCGGTAGTTAAACCTGGACACAATGTTAGCTGTCTCTCTCTAAAGACACACTAGTGCTCTAGTGCGTGATAACTCCCTTGGGGATTACAATTGATAATGCGGTTAAATATGTCCTCTTATAAAGCTTATATATAAAGCTGTAACACTAGATAATATACAGGTAACTGTAAATATAGAGACCTACTCAAGACTTCAATAATTGTGTCTCAATATTTGACTTGGTGGTATTATCCTTTGTAGGACAGTTGGATAATGGATATGCATAAAACTCGAATTAACGATAAGATCCTAAGATACTGTGTTTATATTCTGAGGTTTAATAAGTTAGAAGTATTCCACTTTCAACACGTTGCTTATCGGCGAGTTGGTGGTTACGAACGAATAACGATCAGTATAAGTAAATCAAGAACTACACTAATAATAAGTAACAATTAATATAATTATTACTAATATAAAGATAAATGGTTAATTAGCATAAAAGATATTTAACCAATTAGTTTACAGCAACGACCAATAAGGCTCTGTGAAAAAAAGTGCACCCTTTAAAAGGTCCATGAAAATAGTTATTTATTCGTAACGCAGAACACTTGTATTTCTAGATAGTATTATAAAAATTAAACAGTTATGATTATTACTCCTTGTTAATTTTGTATTTACAATAATTCATCAATTTTGATTCATTAGAGTACTAATCATATTAGGTACTGATGCCTGATGGTTAAAGAATTTAAAGAAAATGATGGTTAAAGAAAATATTCTACCAGCGTTATAACCTTACTTAAAGATGTATTTGAAGTCTACCACTTATTCGTTGCCTGATAACGCGAAATAATGATTCTTGAATTATCGCTCCTTATCAGCTAATTATTTACTAATTATTTACCCGTGATAATTCATTCTGCTGAAGCTGGCCTCCTCTATCATAAGGGTGTCTGCTCCTGAGCACACTATAGCTGTTTTAGATTCCTGGCATAACACCATCTCGTACGCTCCTGAACATAATTATGTTAATTAGTAGATACTTAGCATGATTGGTAGTTAATTAGTATTATCAGTCAGCATTAGAACCAGAAGGTAAGTAAATAACAGCGTAAAAAGTATTTTCGAAATGGTAAAAATACTGTAAACATTTGAAGTTTGCGAAGCCGCTCTGATAAAGAAATCTGAGGACGCCGCTTTTTCCTTTCTCCGAACTCCGCGGTAAATCGGGGTATTACTGTCCGATTAAGCGTACAGTTTGGAGAAAGATAAACATTACGGTTATTAGGGTTGTGAGGTAGATTGGGGTTGTGACTTTTGTGTCCAAGCCAGATGGTTTTCTACCGCACAGTAATGATTAAATGGTTCCCAGTCATGACTGACAAGCACTCAAGTAAGGGGTAAATAGGGGGATCCTCACAAGCTTGCTTGAGATCAGCCGACAAAGGATCGTGTAATGTAATACCATAATACCTTTGCTACAGAGATTGCGAGAAGCACAAAATTAAGCCAATGTATTGTGTATTACAATGTATTATGTATATTATAATAATGCACGAAGGTTTCTTCATGATAGAAGTGTAGTAATTTGATACACGTTGCTCATCATGGCCAATCAGTAGGCGTTTGAATTTTGATAATAATATGTCGCTAAGACACACGTAAAATTATCAGTGTTCAGTGTTCATGACGTTTTTGATTTGATCTATTTATGTTAAATACATATTTTATAATTATTTGATAAAGTTATTACATTCGTAAACATTGACTGGCTAATTAAATAAACCAGTCCCCAAAAAAAAGAAGTTTCGGGGACAACGTCTTGAGTACATTATAGAATTAAAAATTTAGACATTTTTAAATATTTTGGGGTACGGTAAATCGCCCGGTTTTACTGTAATTGGAAGGTGGATAGATAAAACCATGGGGCATGGTCATGATTGAGACCATGTTACAAGTAAGAAAGTAAAACAACATCAGGATTCAGGAAAGGGTACCCACTACCTATTGTATGGGAGGAAGAAAGAAGAAAGAAGAAAGAAGATAATTTTGTGAGTGTAATATTGTAGAGTGTAGAGGTACAAAGCTGCGGGTCGCGGGATTTGAGTATCACAAAGCTTTAAAAACTGTTTCTATAAACCCAATGTATAGTAATATAGTGTTTATAGAACTACTAGTTACTGACCAGACTTTACTTCCTATTTAGAGCGTTTATGCGTTACTCAGTACACCCCACTAGTACATACATTACAATACAAATGTTTCATTGGCTATTTCAGTTTAGAGGAACGAACGTTACGAAGGCCATTTGTTTATATATTATACAGCCACTCCCAGCTTTCTTCATGACCTTGTGACATTAACGATCCAGAAATATACTGGACATTTTTGGAGTTTACAAGTTATCGTTTTCTGTATAATTAATTATAGGGTATCAAATCGAATTATGAAATTTCCGGAAATAGGGAATGATTAATATCCGACTGTGATACTATGATGCAGTATGTAAGATGCAGTATGTAATATGCAGTATGTAATATGCAAGTTACATTCTATTCATTTTATCACAGTTTTGGATTTTCTTATTTCACCACAGATTATGATTGATGGGCTAGACAGTGAAACACGCAAATTATGTAGTGTATACTTCGTAAGATTACATTATTAGCTACAATGGAATTAAGTTGGTTAGTTTAATTAGTACTAAACAAATGAAGATCTAAAATGCCTCAAAAAATCGAGAATCAAATAACCTTATAAAAAAATACACGTGGTAAATGGAAATGAACTACACAAAAATATAGCTTCAAAAAATGAATTAAAAACTAAGAACCTTATCTTTCAACTATGCATCTATTTAGACCCAAGCAATTAGTTCTATACTTCTCAATATACCTAAATTCCTCCCTATTTAATCCCCCAGGGTTACATTCTTTCAAAATGGCAAATTTATAGTTGTCAATAGTAAAAATGTCACTGTGATGTTCATAGGCATGAATCGAAAGGGCTGATTTATTACGATCCTCTACTTTAAAAGAAGCTCTGTGTCCAGAGCTTGTTATTTCACCACGAAACAGTAGACACTAAAGCTAGAGCTATATAAAATATTTCTTTATGCGTATAAATACAAATGCGTGTGCTCCATTGTCTTGAATTTAATAATATCACGGCGTCTTCGCGTTTGACTTGGGATATACAATATCTAGAGTATGCTACAAATCGATTATAACCTTTAAGCAAATCCTATTTTGTACCAAATGGCCTTCAGTCAAAAAAGAAATTCTTTCAAATTCATTGTAAAGGTAATCCTTATTTAACCATCACCTTAATAATCTCAGAATGTGTGTGTGTCTGATCGTCTGTCTGTCTGTCTGTCTGTCTGTGCGTGTGTAATTTCCCGGTAAGAGTTACGGGACTGGTTTTTTCGGTATAGTGCCGACAAAACTCTGACGAAGCCGATAAGCAATTTTTTTTAAATCGGCCGGTGGTAAGTGGTTTAATTGATGGTTTTGTACCATAAATGTTACATAAAATGGCTTGAGCAGCTTAATCAAGTTACGGGGCTCGCTCTCTCCCATTACTGCATAATATTATGTAGCGTTGGTACGAATAGATCATAACTACGTGCTGTCATGGGTACTTTAAACTTATTAGGGGAAGGAGCGCTTATAGCGGTCTGTTTGAACTGTAGAGAGAGTTCATACTTTCATACGGCAATGAAATGTATGTTTTCAAATATGCGGGTGTGGTGCGGAGTTAATAAGGGTTAATTTCTATTGATTTTAAGATACTATTGTCTAAGATACTATTAGATACGTGACGGCACTCCGAATAGAATTGCTCACCTAATGCGGGTTTTGACTCAGTGGCTAAATACTCCTACCCTTTTTAACTGCGGCAGTGAAATCCCGGCCGAAGGCCGGGTTACACTAGTATTCATATAATAATGCCGTTGAAACCTAAATCAGGGTTATGAGTACCTTATCAATTGAAGTTTTTAAATATTGAAATACTTATATACATAAATAAATTCTTACATTTGTTACACGCTTCGACGTTTTAAATATACCCAACAAAGATGTACATGGACATGTAAGTCATTCAAGCGAGACTTAGTGTGGAAATATTAAACTTATGCAGTTTTAAATCAGTTTAAATTCCTTATCAATACAGCGTATTGAAGCTTTAAAACTTTGAATACTTTTAATCCAGGGGGACTGTTAAAAAACACACGTTACACATAACGTACGCAATAGATAATAACTTAATAATGTAATACGTGAGCGTATTGTGTTATTTTAAGAAAATGTATGTTTTTTGGACAAACGGAAAGAAAACTACTTGGGTGTAGAAAAAAACTACTCGAAATTCTCGGACCATTTTAATCGAAAGATGTATTCCAAATCAAAGAGTATTCCAAATCAAATTATAACATGAGACGAGAAAGTAACCTCGCTACAACGTCCTTTTGAGTTCTGTATTTTATTTTCGACGGAGCAAAAAAATGCCGCGATTATAATACATTGTTGGTTTGACATTCAGAGTTTCACAGTGGTTAACATTTCATTTAGATAATATATGGTGCCTGGTAACATGTAATTATATAATATATGCTTTCCCTTAAACCAGCCAATGATTTGTAACAGCTTTATAGCTTTATTAGGACTTCATAGCAAATGCTAAGATATCACACAATGCACTGTGAAATAATGATAGAATTATAATTTCACCAGTGCTTGAAGTGATATTTCGTAAATTTAAGTGCTTTGAAAGATGCTGAAGACAGTATTAATAATTATCCTGAAGAAGAATGCCCAAAATGTCAGCAGTTTAGCCAGTAATCACGAAGAGTGATTAAAAAGTGTGATCTCAAGTGTGATCACGAAGAGGAATATAAAATCAGGGTTGCTTGAACTCCACATACCCTTATGCGGCCTTGACTTAGCACCTGGGATTTGTATTGCATCTGCCGTACCGTCTGCTGCAAGATATTATCACATATCAACATAATATCACAATCACATAATATCATTTAAATCTTACTCAGCTTATCGTCTATCTGTTGGTTAGCAAAATGCGAATATACACTGATTAGGAGGACCACATTGATAGAATACTTGGTCCATTCTACAGAAAATTGTGCTTGGAAACTACTATAGCATAAGATATATTTAGCTCATCTGACTTAAAGATAAGGGCAAAATGTACAGCTAATATGTATGTAATGGTTATTGTATTGTCTATCATAATTGCTTAATAATATATGGTTGCCTTGAAATTGGCTCAAGTAAAGTCAATGCTTAGCCAAAACATGTAAGGAACCTGTAAGGAACATGACTTAGAATGAGTATTGATTTGACATTATTCATGACATTCTGATAAACACTCATCATCTGAACACTACCCTCTGAAGCAACCCTTTCTATTTCTAACGATCTGTAACTCTGTAATGACCTTGATTGATGATTTGAACGATTTTTCTGTAGAAGCCTCTTATTGCCATAAGATGACAATGTAATCGATCTTATCGCCATAACTCCATAAGATGACAATGTAATCGAAAAGTCAATAGTCTCGACAGGACGTGTGCCAAAGATAGATTTGCACTGCTTTTATACGTGTGATAGAAGCGAGTGATATAGAATTCGCTACTCCCCTAATAATAGTATTGGGGGAGGAAATTGGAAAACTTATCAGATTTACATTTTTACCTTAGATATAATAGCAAAACTTGGCCAAAACGTAACTTTAGGTAATAATATGTTAACGACCCCCAATGAGCCAGTCAGTTCAGAGAGATATCCCAGCAACATTGTTAACTATATAATTTGATGGAATCATGACGTTCTTCACATGTAGCTTCATTATAAGACACACCTACAAAAGGTTACACTAATTACAACACTACAACTCTATTACATTTATTGAGAATTATGTAATGTAGCGTGATGGAAATATTTCCCAGTGTAAACTCGGTCACAAGCCCTAGTTTGTTGGTCAATTGCTATCTCCAAATCAAATTTCACAACAAAAATCAGGGTGAACCCTACCCCCTTAATTAGTTACACTGGGAAATGGCATGGTTAATTGGTTAGGACGTGTTTAGTGTATACAGGAATGTAGAGAATTTTCATATCAGGAAAGTGCGGAAAGCTAAGCGTTTAGATTCAAAGCAGATATTTAGCAAAGCGCAATTTCTTTGTTTCTTTTTTTCTAAAGAACAAACTACTAGCAAGTTACCACTGTTAAGCAGGTAACTTTTATTGGCACGATCAACGCTAAACTTTGTTTTTATTGGATTTGGAGCTTTCATTAAAAGTAAGCATGATAAAAACTTACAATAGTAAGTGGAGTCTAGTTTAGATTCCTCAGTAACGTTAATAAGATGCCAAGATTCCTCAGTACCAATCTCAGGCTCTGTAACGACTTTTTTAGGCTCTGTAACGACTTTTTTAGGCTTTGTAACGACTTTTTTAGTGACATATTTAGGTTCCTCAGTGCCAATCTTAGGCTCAGTGGTGACTTTTTCAGGTTCATGAACAAATTTTTCAGGCTTAGTGACAAATCGATGAGGCTCTGTGATGACGTTCTCAGGCTCTGTAACGACTTTTTTAGGGTCGGTGATGACTCTTTCAGGCTCTGTAACTATTTTATTATGCTCTGAAACGAAATGATGCATGTCAGTTACTGCATTTTTGTGCTTGGAATGCCGATGATTATCACCAGAAACTGTGTTTTGAGCTTCAGAATCTTGGTTAGTTGAAGGAACATGGTTAGTGGCGGTTTCTTTAGGTTCTGTTTTTGGTTTAGTCGTAGGATCCGCCACCCAATCTGGAAAAAGGAAACTAGCAAATAGTTATCAATCTTACACCATTATTTGAAGTTTGAACACATATTACCGCAAGAAAAAGGTTATGGGTCCTGTAAAATGGCAAAGAAAAGAGTAGTGCGGAGTGCCCTGGACTAGCGTCAAATAATCGGATTATCCTAAGCAGGAGCAAAGTTTTCAGCGCCTCTTGGCAGCTGCAGCTGAATGCAAAAATCATATTTTCGTATCTAGTTATTCTAGCTACGCTTTCTTATTTAGATAGTTAACTTAACTATTAAAAAAGTTAAGTTTGTACTGCATCTTTGCATCTTACTAGTTGAACCAAAACTCGCCACAAACTGATTTCTCCATAGAAGTATTAAAACTAACCGAAGTGGTTACCATATTTAATCTAATCGAAGAAATTGTCAGATTTAGGGTTTGCTAGGCTCCATGATAATGTTCAAAATAATATGTTGATCACCCTTCGACAAGGACCCGGACGATAGGCTTGTCATTCTCGGTATTTCTGGAGCGAGCATCGCAAGCTTTGATCCCAAAAATAACATTTGACTTGTATTACTTGTGTAATGGTAACCTTTTACATATTTGCAAGATGCAAAACATTCGTGATCCGAATCATCGTCAAACAATTCAATCCAGTCACCGATATACTTATAGCATCTCACCTATTATAAAGTTATAAATAACTGCACCGAAATAGATACATTGCGTAATATTATAATAAATTTGACTATTATAATAATATAATGAATAAAAATAGCGCGAATGAAGCTATATTACAGTTCAATGCAGTTAGATGAAAACGGCAAAATGTTTGCTTTTTGCCTACAAGTATCATATTATTAATTCTTATTGTCATTATAATACATTTGTAACCTATTAAATACATTTCATGTGACCCTAAATTATCCACATGTCCCCACATTATGTGGTTTAGTTTCATCTGACTGAGCAGCTGGTAATAACGGTTTAGTCTGAGGACGCACAGTATAATAAATGTTACTGTAAGGCTAGAGTTTCCTTTTGTAAGAAGTGGTAGTGGTATTACCGGTGTGTTCAAGATAAAAATTCGACCTCACGGTGCAGTGGTATGACATAAACCATATTTGAATCGTCCGTTCATTGAATTAAATATCAAAATCAGTTAATAATGTAGGGTATTAAACTTCTTAATACAGTTCTAACTCCACCCCTTTAATATCAAGACGATTAGTGATTATTTATCAACCCTGCGTTTTGTGGAGAGGGTACTAAATTGAAGTCATTTTCACCGACACCATGGCAAAATCAAATTCAAATAAATAACGAATGGCACGCTGCGGAAATATGTTTTGTATTACGAATCATAAACTGTGTCGGGCAACGAGAATTATTATATTATTTTGGGATTTTTAATTTTTGTCGCCCGCAAGATTGCTTGACAGTACCTTAATAGATAGGGTACTTACTGGTACAGTGGGGTGCCATATGTTTTCGTTATTCCTAACGGCGCGAGTTTGCGTGCAGGTCACGTGATATTGTTAGCAGTGAGTGTAATTACGAGTCTCTGGATAATGTACGTACGTTGTGGTGAGCTGGTGAGTTTTGGTGAGTTGGTGAGAGAGTTGAGCGTAACTTCGGATCCCCCTGTAATGTGCTCAAACAATACATTCGTGGATATAGGTTACTAGGCAGTAACTAGGTAGTAACTAGGTAATAACTAGGTAGTAACTAGGTAGTAACTAGGTAGTAACTAGGTAGTAACTAGGTAGTAACTAGGTAGTAACTAGGTAGTAACTAGGTAGTAACTAGGTATTTATAACTTATTGGTGAGAGCTTTGAGCCCAGTGAAGGATTTTCTAGGTTCAGTAACAACTTCCTTGGGTTTTGTGATGACTTTTTAGGCTCTGTAACGACTTTTTACTTTTTTAGGCTTTGTAACAAAGTTAGTGGTCACAAATTTACCAGGCTCTGGGATGACTTTTTTCAAAACCCAAAATAGTTCAAATAAATAACGAATAGCACGCTGCGGAAATATGTATTGTATAACGAACAATAAACTGTGTTTAGCAACGTAGCTTATAGTGAGAATTATTATATTATTTTATAATTTATACATTAAGTTTAAAAGTGTGTTTAATATAAATATTAGGCTCATCTGTAATACAATATTATAATGTCCATTATAGGTGTCCTGTAAATTATGAAACATCGAAAACAAAATACAGCTAATCAACGAGAAATCACATAGATGTGCTCGCGAAACATACGCGGTCTTAATTATAGTCAACACTTGCGTGAAGTAATCAGAATGTTAGTAACCTTGCATTCATCGATAAACTAGCATAAACTTTATTTATCATGCATCTTTTCAGCTGCTTGAAAATCTCAGAAATTAATGCATATTTTATACAGCTCATGTTAAATAGCTTAAAGGAAGCAAGCTAAAGAAAGCATTGTAAATTTAAAAATTGTATTAATTAATCAATTAAAACGCACCTTTATCAGTTTTAGGAGGTAAAGCAGCCTCGCTCTCATTGGGACACTCCGTAGCCTGTGTAACGGAGTTGTCAGGCTCGTTACACTTTCCTGTTATCCAGTTCTGTTTCCAGCGAGATGTTCCGTCACTGCACCTGCACACGTGTTGTTACAGAGACCAGAGATACACAAACAATGAACGGGCCGGGTTAAAACAGATAAGAGACCAGAGAAACACAAACAAATAGGGCTGGGTTAAAACAGATAAGAGACCAGAGAAACACAAACAAATAGGGCCGGGTTAAAACAGATAAGATACCAGAGAAACACAAACAAATAGGGTCGGGTTAAAACAGATAAGAGACCAGAGATACACAAACGATGAACAAATAGGGTCGGGTTAAAACAGATAAGAGACCAGAGAAACACAAACAAATAGGGCCGGGTTAAAACAGATAAGAGACCAGAGAAACACAAACAAATAGGGCCGGGTTAAAACAGATAAGAGACCAGAGAAACACAAACAAATAGGGCCGGGTTAAAACAGATAAGAGAGCAGAGAAACACAAACAATGAACAAATAGGGCCGGGTTAAAACAGATAAGAGAGCAGAGATACACAAACAATGAACAAATAGGGTCGGGTTAAAACAGATAAGAGACTGCAGGCGAGTGTGTTTACCGTATATAATATGTTATAGAGTCAATAGCTGTTATTGTAACATAAATAAATAAATAATAAATTCTAACACTTATTGAACGCTTTGGCATAAATAATAAAATATAAGAAATATAATAAAATGTAATAAAATAATAACTCTGTATAAAATTGCAGTTATTAAACTAGCTAGACTAAATAACGGTGATGCCTTATCAAATTATGGGTTTCTAGACACCCAGTATATTGATAACCAAATATTTATAACTTGACTTGAGGTGTTAGTGACATTTAAACATATTTAGGGGATGGCTGAGCAATTGTCCAAATAAAGCTATGATTGAACCACGAATTTGTCGCTAGTAGCAGTATACGAAGGAAGGTGGATTCCGGCTAGGATCGTTGGTGCTAACTGCTAAGTTATATATCATAACTTCAGCTAAAACTTCTGATAAAAAGCCTGTGACTAATACAGGTAGTCTCTCGACACGAAACTTTTTTTAAAAGTATACTGTAAACATTAATATTTGAACATCATCTGGGAATGTTAAAAAAACAACTACATAATTAAAATAAACATTAAATTAGTAATGTTTTAGTTTAGAGTGAGACTTACTGTTGCAAGTAATTAGTGACGTTTTGCAGTTAACAATTAAAGTTGGACTTACTGTTGCACGTAATAAGTAATGTTTTGCAGTAAACAATTAAAGTTGGACTTACTGTTGCAAGTAATAAGTAATGTTTTGCAGTTAACAATTAAAGTTGGACTTACTGTTGCACGTAATAAGTAATGTTTTGCAGTTAACAATTAAAGTTGGACTTACTGTTGCAAGTAATAAGTAATGTTTTGCAGTAAACAATTAAAGTTGGACTTATTGTTGCAAGTAATTAGTAATGTTTTGAAGTTAACAATTAAAGTTAAACTTATTGTTGCAAGTAATAAGTAATGTTTTGCAGTAAACAATTAAAGTTGGACTTATTGTTGCAAGTAATTAGTAATGTTTTGAAGTTAACAATTAAAGTTAAACTTATTGTTGCAAGTAATAAGTAATGTTTTGCAGTGAACAATTAAAGTTGGACTTACTGTTGCACGTAATAAGTAATGTTTTGCAGTTAACAATTAAAGTTGGACTTACTGTTGCACGTAATTAGTAATGTTTTGCAGTTAACAATTAAAGTTGGACTTACTGTTGCAAGTAATTAGTAATGTTTTGCAGTAAACAATTAAAGTTGGACTTACTGTTGCACGTAATTAGTAATGTTTTGAAGTTAACAATTAAAGTTAAACTTATTGTTGCAAGTAATAAGTAATGTTTTGCAGTAAACAATTAAAGTTGGACTTACTGTTGCACGTAATAAGTAATGTTTTGCAGTTAACAATTAAAGTTGGACTTACTGTTGCACGTAATAAGTAATGTTTTGCAGTAAACAATTAAAGTTGGACTTACTGTTGCACGTAATAAGTAATGTTTTGCAGTTAACAATTAAAGTTGGACTTACTGTTGCACGTAATAAGTAATGTTTTGCAGTTAACAATTAAAGTTGGACTTATTGTTGCACGTAATAAGTAATGTTTTGCAGTAAACAATTAAAGTTGGACTTACTGTTGCACGTAATAAGTAATGTTTTGCAGTTAACAATTAAAGTTGGACTTACTGTTGCACGTAATTAGTAATGTTTTGCAGTAAACAATTAAAGTTGGACTTACTGTTGCACGTTTGGGCACCAACTACAGTTAAATGTAGTCTCTAACGTTGCACAAGCTGCACAACTCTGTGCGGTGGCGCAAGCTGAAATTATTATAAATTAATAATTTAAATTTAATACTTAATATATATAAAGCAAATCATTTTTTTTTTCAAGCCTCATATTTCTTCGTGTCCAAAGGCAACACATTATTATAAATTTTAAAAATTAGAATATTCCGCTGTTGTCAAAGCTGTCTCGACATAGTTGTCATACATTTAGAAGTGCCAACACTAAATTTCGACAACTACCTATTTTCCATAATGTGTTGTGAAAAATTTCAAAGATGCGTCGATTGTTTCTAAAAGTTGGATGTCGAAAATGCAGACGTACGACAGTCGACACCTCGTATTTTTTTGCCATGTACAATATTCTATAATATATTCATTAAATTGCGTAATCTTAAAGTTAATATGCTGTCTGAATTCTGAAAAGATTTTCGATTTTGTGACCCTCAAGATTGCTTGACAGTACATTAATTGTAGATTTAACTTACTGGTGAGAGCGTTGAGCATAACTTCGGAGCCCACCGTTATGTGCTCAAACGGTACATCAACTTTGTGGTATTCGTGGATATAGGTCACCGTCATACCTGTAGTTATTGCCGGTCACTTATACTGACAATACTATACACAGTACACTATACACACTCAACACAGTACACTATACCTCTAAACACAGTCCACTATACACAGTACACTATACACAATACACTATACACAATACACTGCAAACGGTACATCAACTTTGTGGTATTCGTGGATACAGGTCACCGTCATACCTGTAGTTCAGATGTTATTATACACAGTACACTATACACAGTACACTATACACAGTACACTATACACAGTACACTATACACTGCAAACGGTACATCAACTTTGTGGTATTCGTGGATATAGGTCACCGTCATACCTGTAGTTCAGATGTTATTATACACAGTACACTATACACAGTACACTATACACAGTACACTATATAATATATACACAGTACACTATACACTGCAAACGGTACATAAACGTTGTGGTATTCGTGGATATAGGTCACCGTCATACCTGTAGTTCAGATGTTATTATACACAGTACACTATACACAGTACACTATACACAGTACACTATATAATATATACACAGTACACTATACACTGCAAACGGTACATCAACTTTGTGGTATTCGTGGATATAGGTCACCGTCATACCTGTAGTTCAGATGTTATTATACACAGTACACTATACACAGTACACTATACACAGTACAGTATATATATATACACAGTACACTATACACTGCAAACGGTACATCAACTTTGTGGTATTCGTGGATATAGGTCACCGTCATACCTGTAGTTCAGATGTTATTATACACAGTACACTATACACAGTACACTATACACAGTACACTATATATATACACAGTACACTATACACTGCAAACGGTACATCAACTTTGTGGTATTCGCGGATGAACTATTCCAGATGTTATTGGCTCAAGAAAAAGGAGTATCAAGAATATTAAACTACTTTCACTAGAACAATGTAATATTTGTTTTAATATTTTTAATTATCGATGATACAACTAAACACTTGACTGATATATGGATAATATCCGGTTGGAAGAGACAAGGACAAATGAAACAAGGAAGTTAGGAGTAAGGGCAAATTTTCGGCGTCAACGCCATCTTCAGGCTCAAATTATTTGTTATATAGTAGTGTTGAAAGTATTAATACTTTCAACACTACTATATAACATATAATATCAGTATTTCAATCATGAGACTAATAAACAGCGAACTACTCCGTTATTTGAAACACTTCACTCTTGATACGTTAGTCTTGGTAGAACAATAGAATCACCACCAATATCATTACAAGAAATATTGTAGAGAATTGTTAAAGTGTATGTACCATGTTTGGTGTCCTATGCATACACTCCTTGATAGTTATCTTGATCTAGTATCTTTGTTTCACACAATAGAGCATAAGTTTTGTGGTTTATCCACTGGGCTTAGAGTTTGTGTTTAAGCTACCAAATTTTATTATTTTTATTATTACAAGAAATATTGTAGAGAATTGTTAAAGTGTATCATGTACCATGTTGATAGGTGAAAATTCTGTTTCTTCCTCCACTAGCGAGCTCAACAAATGAAACAAGCAGTTAATCACACAAAAATATTTTCGATGGTCTACATCTTCATCAGTTCTCAAATTATTTGTTATATAGTAGTGTTGAAAGTATGTACCATGTTTGGTGTCGACCTCGTAGAATGCTTCAGAAATTCCAATCTTAACGTAATGAGAGTCATCATCAATACTGTCTACTGAGAAAGGGACCTGAAAATAGCATTAAGTTGTTTAAATAGTAAGTAAGAAGATTGATTACAAACATTCTTTGTCGGCAAATTTAGACTAACTTGATTATTATCAACTGAAAATATTCATAATAATTCTCGGATTAGAAATCTAACCTGAGCACTCGACTGGAGAATAGCATTAAGTTGTTTAAATTTTAATATAACCTATTTGATTGTTTTAAAAACTATCTAATGCTTTAATGCATACCAAAACTAAAATGAATCAACATAATATTATAAAGGACTCAATTTGAACCCTGGACAGCTTGTCAAGTACATCGTTTAATAGAACTCATGAACATGTAGCTAAATTATCTTTTTCATTAATTCTTAGGATTCTTCTTACTCAGTTATTTTATAAACAGAAATTATTAGAATAATTGTAATTCCTTTGTAAGTAATGAATGCCTTTTGTATAATACTGTAAATAGATTCTTATAACGTTTATTGCACTTCGCTATAATATAATAACATTAATTTAATAACATTAATATAATAAGATTAATTTCATTTCAGACATAAACGAAACCTCTCTATTACATAAATTATTACATAAATTATAATCTTTTATCGACGTTGTAAGAAGATTGATTAAAAACATTCTTTGTCGGAAAACTTAGACTAACTTGATTATTATCAAGTTCTGAAAATATTCACAATAATTCTCGGATTAGAAATCTATAGTTCAAAAATTAATTGTACGTTCCGTCATTACTATTATTAGCACTTATAAGTGGCATAACAATTAAGCAGTTTTATATAATTCGTGATTTACTTTCTCGTTAAAAAGTAACTCCAACGAGAATAATCAGTTGCAGTCCTAATTGTTTAATTGTTTAATTGTTTAACTATTTAATGCTTCAAACGGTTTATATGATAAATCATCAAATAAAATTATTCACGATTAATATTGGCCGAAAATCTGTCACTTGCAAATAATTTAATCACTCTTTAGTCTTCATAATGCTATTATATAATGCATCGATAATCCACATAAAAATAAAGTTCAAGGAAGGGTTAAAATATTGTTATTAATTACTGAAACAATCAGAGATGACTATTAGCAACTAGTTTACTCAATTAGATAATTTGAATACAAATAATCTACGTATAATGTAATTATCATGCATATTAACTTATTAAAAAGGGATTACAATAGCCGTAACTCACCTGTTTGTAAGCAAAAATAATGTCACCGTTGATGTACAATTGTGCTTGGAAACTGAACGGCATATCTGAAAGGTTTCGCTGATTAATTTCTAAGACGTGTGCATTTTGCAACTAAACCATGTCCATATAATGGCTATAATATAATAATTGTATAATGTAAATAACTGCATTTTATCTCTGTTATCTTTGTTACATGTGAACTCATATTAATTAAACCAAGCTGCTGCCTGCTTTTTAAGCTGGGGAGAAGCAATGATGGTAAAAAACTCGGTGGGCTAAAAACTGTTGATCAGTGTAATGTCCAGTTACAAACACTATCTGACCATCAATAATTAAGTTCTGTAATCTGTAAATCTATATTTTAAACGATAAGAAAATGGTACCTTTCTCTGCATTTGGATCGTTAGGATTACGATGAGAGTGCACGTACACATTATCCCACTGTACAATCGCTCGTGTATCTGAAGTATTATTATGTAACAACTAACAGTAATTAAATAATAGTAAATTAAATTAATAGTAATTAAATAGCCACAATGACGTACCAGAACGTAAGACTTTCCTTATCTTCAACTATTTCCTTATTTTCAACTACATATTTCCATATCTTCCATATTTCCCCCATTTTTTTCAAATTTGCAGCTTTTTAGAATCCCAAATAGGTACAAAGCGTTAGCTGACGTTGAGTATAAAAATGTCAGTACTGAGCTGATGGTATTAATTAACAATACTCTTGTGAAATGTGAACCCCTAACTCCCAAATGTAATTCATCCTTTATACACGCGGCCCTTCTAGGTAACCAAAGTCCCCCCCCCCCCCCGTCTTCTCCCATACGAGCGGTGTTTGGGCGGCAGAAGGATAGCTAAGAAAGATTCTTGCAGCCTGCAGCAGAACTGAAGAACAAAGTAAGATCATTCATTGATCTCACCGTGGAGTGTGCCATCTCCGCACTAATCCACTTTAAAGTATGGAGCACGAGACTCTCATGGCGAGAGATTTGGTATAGTGATGCGAAAACTATTCTTCTACCACCTTTTTTTGCCTCTTATAGCGTTGAGAATATTATAACTTAAAAAGGGGTTTCTAATGAAGTTATTGTTATTAAGGGGGAGGGGAGGGGGCGGTGGGGGCCGGGGGGGTCTTAAGTCATTGCAAGTTGCAACTAACACTTTTCCAGCTTGTATACCAACATTTTTTGTTTACGAGATTGGCCCCGGGTCCGGGACACTAAGGCGCGAAACTCTTGTAACTCTTCTAAGCTTCTAGAGTATTTATCAATATCGATCGAAAATACGAGAATTTGTACATCGTAGGGTCCTGTTTCATAGGGCGCCGCCCTAGAGTCTCACACCCTAGAGTCTCACGCCCTTGAGCCCTAGAGTCTCACTCCCTAGAGTGCCACACCCTATACTTAAAGTTACGCCCTTGAGTCCGGACCCCAATAATAACGGTTAACGAACATTTACAAAGCCCGTAAAATAAAGCATGATTATTGTCGATAATTATACATTTTCAACAATATAAATGACAAAAATATTCATTATGAAATGATATTCACATAATATCATATTATGTGAATATCGTATAATATGTTCAATGACTTTAAATGACAATGTTATACAGTACTGACTATATTATAAGAATAGTGATTGCACAGATCAGCAGATCCGTGCACGATATTACATGGCTAACAATAACAGCTGTCTTATGGGTTGCGAGTGTATGTTTAATAAGTAGCCTCTTTATTATCGTAAAAGCCAGTAAGGCATAATATAAAGCTTTATAAACATGTGACTGTATGGTATACATAATGATACATTAATATAGTATTGCACCGTATCACAAGTCATACATTACGCGCCCATATTTTTGCACAAAGATCCTTATTATAAGACCTTTACAATTCCACTGCAACTATTACATGGCTCTATAAGTAAAGTGTCCAGTGTCCACTACACCAAGTACAGGAAGTGTGTTCCCATTAGTACTGATAACCAGGGAGGTCTTTTAATAGATAATACCACTGTGTAGACTCAACTATCACGTGACGTCACGTGATAATGGTCACGTGACGTCACGTGATAATGGTCACATGACTGTCCGCGTGTAATGTTTTAACGACCACAGCACACATATTATAAAACACGCTCACTTAGACTTATATACAGCGTGTGGGATGCAACAGAACGTTACCGTGATAACACAAAGGCAGGTTAATGGTATTTAAAGAATGTGTGAGGTCTGATCATGGTACAACCCCAGCTTGTCATGTCAGAGAATAGAACATTATCTCTTGAAAGAGACTTTTATTTAACGTAAACTGTTTCGTTCCATAGGAAGATACTGTAGAGGCCTCATGTAGCCTCCAGGCTCGACAAACCCCGACACACCCCGACATATCCCGACAAACCCAGACATATCCCGACAGACCCCGACAAACCCCGACGTGTCGAGATATGTCGAAATATGTCGGGCCCACCGGCTACATAAGGCCTCTGTAGCAAAAGAAACATCAGATACAGCTATCATAGGGTATCATATCATATAGAGCCTCTAGGACTCCAGCAGGAGCTATTCGACTGCGGCCAAATGGTCAACTCCAAGCGTGCTATTGTGTTAAGTCACATGACACACCTAAGCGCACGAAGGTGACATGAATGCTCATTCAAATACTCAGTCTCATCGGGTCCAATGACTCCTCAATTATTCATTTCTCGCTGTTCATGAACTGTCTCTAAACAAAGAGAAATAACTCGTGTTATGTGCCTTCTCGGGTACTCGGGCCTATCCATCTGTTACAGCCAACTCTTATTCAAAGAGTTTCTATGTATTTTATAGTTGTTCCACATAATAAGGAGAATACAACATATTTTAATGCTCTACATGTGTACAGTTGTGATGATCGTTAGCTGACGTTTGATATGAAATGGACAAGTCAGTAATGATGGTATGTAGATGGTATGTAATAATAGTACTATGTTTACAGTATGTACTGAAGGGGTATCCTAAGAAGTTTCTTGAAATTTTAACAGGTACCCCTCCTCATTTAACCCTCAATCAAGTTTCCTATCATTCGGCTGAGTCGACCGAGGAGATCGCATAGATCAATTGGATCCTTAGCTACTCCCTAGACTAGACCTGACACTGGGATTCGAACCCTGGACCTTCAAGGCGGATGCTATAACCACTAGGCCACCTAGCCTATGAAGAATGTAGATGGTATGTAGATTGTCACCAGCGGGTCACCTCGAGATACGTCGTTTTCATAATGTACACTCGACTAGTGACTACCATCAACACACATGTAAAGTTACACACAGTTCCTTATTGCTCTATATTTGAGTGCCTTATTTCTTTACTTATCGTGGAAGAGGACCTATTGACATCACGTGATAATGGTCACGTGATGGTACACAAACACTAGCGGACAGTATATTATTGTGTATAGTTTACAGTGTATTATTGTGTATAGTTTAAAGTAAACATGGTTCTCATTGACAAACGTTACACTGGGGCGCACGTGACAATTGCTCGCAGATGTGATTGGTAGTTGTTACAGTGTGGGGTACGCTGATTGGTTAAAAACACTGCCCAGTGCAGGGTGGTTAAAAAGTGGGTTTATTAAATACAAAACATTGTGGAGCTAAGATCGTGTTACAAGGGTTAAGTGGCAAGTTGGTCACGTGGTTAGTGGCAAGTTAGTCACGTGGTTATATTAGTGGCAAGTTGGTCACGTGGTTAGTGGCAAGTTGGTCACTATAATGCCGTTTTAGAACCAAGTTCATTGGGTCAACAAAACGTGTTTACAATGAGATCCTCATTATGAGACCCATTTAACAGGGGAGCTTCCCTGACACATGATCTCCAGGTGAAGTTCGACATCTTGTTCATCAAATCAATGCTGGAAAACTGCAAATGTTCACATGCCCAGCACCTACTTTTAAAAGGAGGTGTGCGAGATGACGGTACTCATATACAGGCCGCAGAATGAGGTATGCGAAATGACGGTACTCATATACAGGCCGCAGAATGAGGTGTGCGAGATGACAGTTCTCATATACAGGCCGCAGAATGAGGTGTGCGAGATGACAGTTCTCATATACAGGCCGCAGAATGAGGTGTGCGAGATGACAGTTCTCATATACAGGCCGCAGAATGAGGTGTGCGAGATGACAGTTCTCATATACAGGCCGCAGAATGAGGTGTGCGAGATGACAGTTCTCATATACAGGCCGCAGAATGAGGTGTGCGAGATGACAGTTCTCATATACAGGCCGCAGAATGAGGTATGCGAGATGACAGTTCTCATATACATGCCGCAGAATGAGGTGTGCGAGATGACGGTACTCATATACAGGCCGCAGAATGAGGTGTGCGAGATGACAGTTCTCATATACAGGCCGCAGAATGAGGTATGCGAGATGACAGTTCTCATATACAGGCCGCAGAATGAGGTGTGCGGCAGAATGAGGTGTGCGAGATGACAGTTCTCATATACAGGCCGCAGAATGAGGTGCGCGAGATGACAGTTCTCATATACAGGCCGCAGAATGAGGTATGCGAGATGACAGTTCTCATATACAGGCCGCAGAATGAGGTGTGCGAGATGACGGTACTCATATACAGGCCGCAGAATGAGGTGTGCGAGATGACAGTTCTCATATACAGGCCGCAGAATGAGGTATGCGAGATGACAGTTCTCATATACAGGCCGCAGAATGAGGTGTGCGAGATGACAGTTCTCATATACAGGCCGCAGAATGAGGTGTGCGAGATGACAGTTCTCATATACAGGCCGCAGAATGAGGTGTGCGAGATGACAGTACTCATATACAGGCCGCAGAATGAGGTGTGCGAGATGACGGTACTCATATACAGGCCGCAGAATGAGGTGTGCGAGATGACAGTTCTCATATACAGGCCGCAGAATGAGGTGTGCGAGATGACAGTTCTCATATACAGGCCGCAGAATGAGGTGTGTGAGATGACGGTACTCATATACAGGCCGCAGAATGAGGTGTGCGAGATGACAGTTCTCATATACAGGCCGCAGAATGAGGTGTGCGAGATGACAGTACTCATATACAGGCCGCAGAATGAGGTGTGCGAGATGACAGTTCTCATATACAGGCCGCAGAATGAGGTGTGCGAGATGACAGTTCTCATATACAGGCCGCAGAATGAGGTGTGCGAGATGACGGTACTCATATACAGGCCGCAGAATGAGGTGTGCGAGATGACAGTTCTCATATACAGGCCGCAGAATGAGGTGTGCGAGATGACAGTTCTCATATACAGGCCGCAGAATGAGGTGTGCGAGATGACAGTACTCATATACAGGCCGCAGAATGAGGTGTGCGAGATGACGGTACTCATATACAGGCCGCAGAATGAGGTGTGCGAGATGACAGTTCTCATATACAGGCCGCAGAATGAGGTGTGCGAGATGACAGTTCTCAT